TCTATCGATCCCAACATATCCCATCTCAACAAGTATAATAGTAAAGCCTCTAGTAGCCAAAAACTCATTTTCTCCCATGGGAACAATTTCGCAAAACTATATGTTATTCGACTCAGTTGAGTGTACTCTACACAATGGTATGCATATCTTACTCGGCACACGTTCGAAACTCAACCAGAAGAAGCAATTCTTGAAATGACACAGACTTGCTCAGCTTGTAGAGTGCTCTTCTGGAGAATATGAAACAGACAAAACTGCACGATAGCTGAACAGATAGAGGAACGTCTTGAGAACTATGAGTGGCAACGTAATGAACACGCCAGTGTGGGGTGGTATATTCAGGATGAGTTGTTGAGAGGTGTTCGATGATAGTTATGTTAACATTGACACAATGTGTAAGAGTGAGTCGATGCGTTCTCATGAAAATTCATAATGGCAGTCCAAGCATCAATGCGTTTCACGTATAAGAATTATCAAAAAAGATTTTTGTAAATTTTGATGACAATTCAAGTGATGGAGCTGTTTGAAATTTAATCGATTTGCAAAGTTCATCCTGATTGTACATGTATATGCACGTAGTATATTGAGTCAATACTGTTGCAACATATGTGTATATGTGTTATAGGCTATTGGGCATAGTTTATGGGTTCCAATGTATCAAGTTATACCTTGTTGGATAGAGTTTTTCATTCTGAGTCGAATGGTATCATTTTGGTTGATGGCACAAGTCGTTGAGCGAATCAGTTCATGAAATACAAGAAGAATGGCGATTTTCAGTTGTTTTCAGCCGATTCCATTGAAACTGTGAGTTGAATAGTGCAAATGAGCATACCATTGGATAGAGCAAGTCGAGATGCATCGAAATATGTGGCTGTTTGCAAGTTCTAGAGTGATAGAGCGAATAATTTTGCGAAAAACGTTTTTTGCGAAATTGTTCCCATGGGAGAAAATGAGTTTTTGGCTACTAGAGGCTTTACTATTATACTTGTTGAGATGGGATATGTTGGGATCGATAGAGCTCGATGAGTTCTACCTGGCACACGACAAAGAACAGGTGGCACATCAGGTAGAACGAATCGTATTTTTGAAAACTCGAATCTCCGGCCAACTTCTCTTACATTCTTCCAAGTAAGTTTTCCATTCCTCCTTTTCATCTGGTGTGAATGGATTTGGATTTGATTGCCATAACCATTGAGGCTTTGTTGAAGACTTTTCCGATACCATTAATGTTGCGGCGAAATATTTGTTAACTTTTGATGAAAAAGAAAAAAAATCGGATCTTAAATATACTATTCACTAACAGCCAACGTCAACAAACAAAATAAATAGTGAAAAAATTCTTTCATTCGCCTCCTACTTTTTATTCCGTCATGAAGAAAAGTTGGAAAAAAGAAATTCCAATAAGCGATCGAATGTACTCACGCAATGCCCATACATGTAAAAGTTGAAGAGACTATTCGAGTATTAAACTTTCAATTCGATTTTTCAACTTCTAAATTTATAATTCGAGTATTCGAGCTTCAAACTACTCAACTTTTAAATCTAGAATTCGAAGTTTCGAGTTTTCCGCTTACCAACTCGTAAGTTCCTGATCGTAAAACCTTGAGTGACTGATTATTAACTATTATGTAACTGTTAATTAAATATTAATCAACGGACTATCAAGTAATCGACATCTGACTGTTAAATACTACTTAATCATTTATTCACTATAAGACTATGACTTCTCAGCCAACTGACGGTAGCGAATGCCGCTCACATTAACCCTGACTATGCCGTTGTAGCCTTCACCCTCACCCACCCCATACCCTCACACCCACACTCACACCCTGCAGGAAACGGTCGGGAAATGACTGGAACCTACGTTTGAACTTCCGGCGGCAAGGAAATGGCCGGAAAACGAACCTAACCGGCCGGAACTGACCGTGCCATAATAACCTAGGAAGCTGATGACTTTCATTGATTTTGACAGTGAAAATACTGATTGTTGGTGATTATAGCAAAAAATTTAAAAAAGAGACCGTGATTCTCTGGCAGTATTGTCGTAGTTGTGATGATACGGGAATTTCATTATCTGATGAGTGAACTATATATAAATAAAGCATTATCGTTTGTCAATTACTAGTCTTCTTAGTTTACATTTCTCACGACGTCCTGAGAGTCGCAGTCGATCTTGAATCGATTAAACTCCTTACATTTGATAAGTTTACGTGCTGCTATTTTAACTGGTTTGAAGAAAATCGAAAAAGCATTGTGCATTCCAGTTTTTTCATTAAGAAACATATTGAAACTGGTTTGATTTATATGACTTTTTTTGTCTGAAAACAAACATCTCACAACATATCTTACAGAGAGAGAAGATAAAATGATTTTCCGGTAATAATAAGTCTTTTGTGGACTTCTTCTTCGAACAGATCTGATATATTTCCGAAGAAATTTTGTACCTCACGTCTGTACTCTATTTGGAGGAAAGCTGAACCTCTCGTGCGCCCCGTTTGAGACCTGAACAGTTGGTAACTCTGGTTTCGACATCTCACGCTTTTGTGAAAAGAGCATAGATAAGTTCATCGGCAATTCTTTTTGCATTCTACTATATCTAGAATCCGATGCAGTGTCACGTTCTGACGCTACTTTGGATCTTCAATTTCTTTTATACTGTAATGTCAAACCATTTTAGTGCTCAGAATAACCACTACGACCATTATTATTTTTATTTTCTTGCTTGATGTAATGATAGTACGAGCTAACCTATTCTAAATGTTCCGAGCCCAAAGTAGTTTCAGTACAAGATGTATTGGTATTCGCGCAGTTCTCGACTGCCACTTTCAAACTTTATATTGATGCATCCCGATGGTTCAACCAGAACATGCATGACTTGCGAATGGATGGTAAGTGTTCGCAACAATTTTATAGAACAGGAGAAAAGAAGTTAACGCTTTTATATGAGATGATCGCAGTTAGTCATATGAACAGTTTATAGGAGACTACGGGAATAACAAATGCACCTGTAGGAAGCGATGATAAATGTCGTTTTCTTCTTTTGAACGTCAACTACGGCGTTTCAATACGACCATTTCATATATGATTAAATCATTTTTGACGAAAATTATAGTTTTACTATAGTTTATATTTGAATTTGACGCAAAAATCTGATCATTCAGAATCTTATACGTTGTTTTTACATATGTACCGACAGAAAAGATTATTAAAGGTGAGAGTGGATAGCTCTAAAGGTCTCAGTTTATGGCGTCAAGGCCAATGAACTTTATTTAAGGTGAAAACGTTCGTTCTTATATTTAGTCGAAATGACGATAGATTTTATCTTTATCATATTCTCACTTTCATAAATATGGATTTCATTTCTTATTTTGTTGATAAATATAAAATTTCGAGTATTAAGTTTCTTATCGAAAGATATTTCTGTCAATATTGTTATTCGAATAATCTTAATCTGTGAATCAACTGCACTTGATATTGCAAAATAAGATATCAACGCACAATATTTGGATATTACTTGAAGTGGAATTAATTTACGTCATCATATTCTCACTTTTCACTTTGACGCAACAACCTTTTTTTAAAAATATTTCAGTTGGATTACATACTCTGTTTATTGTACTCGTCACTTTTGAGTGTGAATCTGGTCGATGACTTACATTTTTACCTAGTATATCCTTGTATGATCTCTGTGAATAGCTTTCAAATAGGATATCAGCATAGGAAATACAATAAATTTTGATGACATGCTTTCCATTCAAACTATTTTAGATATATCTATCGTAGTTGGAGGAAGAGAGAACGAACAATGCCATTCACAATGTCTAGTAGATCATGGATTTTAACATTCATGCTCTTACATCACACTACAGGAATGATTGATCTTTGGTATAATCGACCGAAGTTTAGTTCGAATGCATTGTGGAATTCAAGCGCTATTACCTTTGCAAATCAATCTACATTTGGTCGTTTCCCTCGTGGACTATTTGTCGACATAAGTAATACTATCTACGCAGGTAGCTGGTTGAACAATATTGTTAAAGTATGGTATAATGGAAGCTCAACTTCCGTAAGGACTATTACAAATGATATTAATTATCCTTATGGTCTGTTTGCATCGAAAGATGGTGATATTTATATTGATAATGGTGCTCGAAATCGTCGAGTCGACAAATGGACGCCAGATGCAACGCATAGTTCAAGTGTGATGACTATTAGTAATCCATGTTGGAGTCTCTTTATTGACACCAACAATTCGCTTTATTGTTCCCTGGAACGGTCACATCAAGTAGTTAAAGTTGATCTAAGTAGCAATTCTATGACACCAATCAAAGTCGCTGGTAATGGTACTGCTGGATCGACACCATCATTACTTAATGAGCCAAACGGAATCTTTGTTGATACAGACTTTACTTTGTATGTGGCAGAATGTGGTAATAATCGAATTCAACGTTTCAATCTTGGTGATCCAAATGGAACCACCGTAGTAGGAAGTACTGCACCTAAAACTATTTCACTTAAATGTCCAACTAGTGTTATACTCGATGGTAATGGATTCCTATTTATCATGGATAGTCGTAACAATCGTATTATTGCACAGAATTCTCTGGGATTTCAATGTATTGCTGGATGTTCAGGTACCAGTGGATCAGAACCAAATCAACTCAGTAATGCTCAATACATAGCATTTGATACTTATGGTAATATATTTGCAACTGACTATAACAATCACCGAATTCAAAAGTTTATTTTAATATCCAATACTCTCAGTAAGTCAATATCCATATCAGATTGAAAAACAAAAACGTTCATTTCAAACTTGCATTGAACATGTTTTTTTTTCTTCCTAGCAACAACTACAACAACAACGACAACAACAACAACAACAACAACAACAACAGAGATGACAACGTCAACAGTAAAAAATAGTGCTCCTACTAAGACGGCTATCAATGTACTATCATCTCTTTCTTTTCTCTGTCTTATATTCTTTGCCTTTTAATTGAAAAATTCGCATATTTGTACTCATCACTGTATTGAATGCTTCCATTTATTTTTTAGCTGTTCAAATAAAAGAATTTTATTCGTTGAAATATGTATTTAATGAGTACAATAAATGAATTATGAAATGGACTGAGGGGGCAAGCGAAGAGATTGTTGTTATCGGATTTCCAGATACCGATAGTGATCTCTCACGATTGTAAAATCTCTCGAGGAATTCTTATCGATGAATTCGGCATTCTTTATATTCGTGGTGTTTGGTAACTCCAGAATTGTGTGATGACTTAAAGATGTTCAACCAGGCGAAATTATTGTTGATTAAAATCGAGAAGAATCCAATGAGTTTACACGGTCAAACTCGATGGCATTTGACAATGATACTTCATTTTTTGGAATCGAATGGCTCTTTTTTCTCAAAAAGTCCATTATTCAGTCACTGTTCTATTCATTGATGTTGATTTTCTGTGAGATTTCGAACGGGTGATAAATGCATTGTTGGCTCTTGGCGATTATGGGTACTAATAGTATGATCCAGCGATCTAACTTGTATTGGCCTACGACCGGTCAGACGATTGAAAATCAAACGAAAAATCTTAACTAATTCCTGTTGAAACGCGCGGGCTGTCAATGTGTACAAATAGAATGATGCTACGGGAAATACGTAAAGCATCAATTCAGCCAAAAATGCGATTATTTTGTCAATGGCTAAACGATCTGTTGTTCGATTTGGAATTGTACTCGATATTGTGCTATAGATTAAATTGATCAACTGTGGTGTCGTCAGTAAAATGTAGAAAAAACTTTGAATAAATAACAACTTCAAAACCTGTTGATCGAGAGAACTTTGTTGTCGTTGATGTTCTGTATCAGCGACTGTGTCGTTTTGTCTACGTTGCCGTTTAAAACGAAGATTACGCCGAATAAGCAACGCACACGTAATCATGGTAGCCGCTGGAAGAACTCCACCACCCATCAATACATAGAGACTATGATAAAGTGCTGCTCCGGTGTTTGTGATAATTCCACATATGTTTCCTTTGATTTCATAGAAGATCATTCGATGGCTGCAAATGATTGTCCAGACTATAATGATTCCGACAATCGAACGATAGGACGTGCGTATATTGGCGAAATTGCGTAAACGTACATTGGTCGAACTTTAGTGCATACCGATCGATACAAGCAAATGCCACGAACCATCGAGATAACATTAAGCAGATTTGGAATAGATAGCCGCGGATTTTACAGAACCAAAGTGAAGTAGTCAGAAGATCAGGATGATCTATGCTATACATCACCGGTAGCACACCGACGAATAAAGTGACCAGATTATTGATAGATGCTGCAAGAAAATCTGCAAAAAAAACACGAACATATGGCTAGGAAACAGCAAACATCGATTGTATTGTACCTACAGTTACAACATGAAATCTTACGTAATCGTTGACGACTGAATATCATAATATCGAGAATGCATCCGGGCACACCCAAAATAATCCATAATGAGTAAACGTAACGTTCTAATTGTAGTTGAATATTCGAAAGGATATAAGTTAAAGATGTTGAGGACATTTTAATGTTGAAAGAATGGTTTTCAATGCTAAATTATATGCAAAGATCGCAAAAGAGAGACATGATATGATACGCTCTTCTCGTTTCCACTATTCAAATTTCTCAAAATTTTGTTTGACATACATTTCATGCGAAATTTTTTGTAAGAATAAGAAATGGATTAATATGTTCAACGATTCACGTTGTCACTGTAATAAAAGCGGTGAATTTTCCTTTTCACAAGACACACATAAATAAAAGTACAAAAGATAACTAAATATAGTAAATGTGGAATCTCAAGTTTTTTCTTTGATGATTATTTATTTAGAAGAATGAAAGTGATGTTCGCCGATAAATAAATAATTCTATGCTTCGGATCGGCAAACAGGGCAAGTTGCGCTTCCGATAAGCCACGCTTGAATACATTTTTGATGAAAGTAATGTGTACATTTTGACAGACCTTGAACATGATCGTTTTTCACATAAGTGTCCATGCAAATAACACAAGAGTATGTCTCCTGGTTGACATATTTCTCATCAATAATCCAACTTGACAAGTTTTTATTATCAGCGACATTAGACGCAGTAGTGGTTGGTCGACTACCGTTACTTGATGTTGTTGTAGAGATATTTGATGTGCCATTTCGTCGCATCTCTTCGATACGATCTCGACGTTCTTTTCGATGACGAACAAATGTACCTTTTCAATAAAAAGTTGTTAAATATATTTAATCATGTGCATATCTTAGAGTCATCTACATATACTCTCTTTTTCTCTTTGTCTTACAGTCTCATTTATAAAAACTATGCGTGAAAAAAGTCAATACCATGAAAGTTGTGCCAAGCCATCATAATTCCACTATCCGTTGGAAAGCCATGATCGTTAAAAATTCGTATCTCAACAACAAATTGCGTGTCAATGGGACGTTTGCCATCACTCCGACGATTTCTGACATTCACTCGTAGTTCAGAGTTGGGTATTTCCCACTGATACATGTGCTCGTGTACGTCATTACGAGAGTCAGAACGGAGAACAAACTCAAAAGAGCCAATGTTCTTAGGTGGTTGTGTAGCACTCTTACGTCCCTAAAAGTTCGCATATTCCAATAAGATAAGTTAATCAGGTACTAATGAGTTTACTTGATATTCGGCCATATGTCGACCAGCTTGTCGAATTTCATCACTTTTATGCGATATCTCAAAGAACCGTTCGGGCGTTAAAAGAAGTGTGCGTTCTTCACCGGATTGAATAGCTTTCTTCAATTCGACATGAATATGACCACCGATATGAGTGAAATTGATGTGTGGTGCATGATCACCAGGCCCATTCCGCGGTCCTCTGTTATAATGATGTCGAATAGCAGGCATTGTGTTGTTTTTTTTGTACAGCTGGATTTTCCCACTAAAATTACTGACAGGATAAACACAGTTGGTAAAAGAGTCTCATTTTGAAATGCTGTCGACATCATAACAGTCTTTACACATTCTTTTTTTTCTACCATTATGTTTTCATTCGCTTTAGTCGTGGGTAGTTTCGTTGAAGAACGACAAAAGAATAGATTCTCTCCCAAGTACTGGGAAAATTCCCAGTAGGAATGTCTGATTGTTATTATATTTTTTTCATGACAAACTGAAGACTTGAACTGTATATAATATAGTCAAGAGCGTCAGAACTCTGCTTATCTTTTTTAGTAACAGAAAATAAGGTAAAAAAAAACTATATAATACATATTACCCTATTGTTATTCTAAAAAAGCGCAGAATAAATGGCTTTCACTCCTCCTGCTAAACATAGAACGCTAACAAGAGAAAAAACAGCTTCAATTCGAGTTAAATTGATAATATTTATGTTCTTGGTTAATTAAATGCAAAAGTTAAACACATGTGGTGTGAGAAGTTATTAATACAATTATGTTGTGTTATTGTTTTGTTGTGCTTGTCGTTCTGTTTCTTGACGAATCAACCGTTGTCGAATATGCGCTGGTAATCCAGGATCGAGACTTAGCGCATATGGCAAAACTCTTTTCGGCAACTCTTCGAAATCGATCATAATTTTGATAAACATAGTGTCATTGCGAACGTACGGATTATTCTCCTGTTGAATGATGGCCAAGGGGCAAAACTTCGGAATGCCACTGGCGATGTTCATCTCAGATCGTGGCCTTTGAAAACTATTTGATTTGACATCAGGTCGAAAACAATCGATCAGATGACGTTGTGTAGGTGTCTGATCGTATAGGCAAAAGATCACTTTGTGCTGAAAGGGAAACGCTAATAGATGGTCGAATCTCCCACGCATCAAAACAAAGAAGACGGACAAATGAGTGCGACGAGCATTCCCATCTCCATAAGGGTATAAACGAGCTCTTATCTTATATCCATTGGGAGATGAGTAGAATATCGGAGAATATATCGATGTTTGTCGTTCACCCTGAGCGTCACCTGAGTGAAAAACCACTGGTCTAATAATGATCAGCAAATAGTTTAGAAAGCTTACTTATTTTTTTGGAAACATCTGTTATTTTCCAGATCAGCGATCCATCATAAGAAGTGTATTGAAATTCATCGATATGTTGCTTGAGAGATGCCACTTCTTGAGCGAGTATCTCTTGATTCGGTTTTAATCCGCTCAAAAATATGCTTTGCTCTGGAACGCTCACTTTAAGTGTTTCGAGCTCTTCGTGTAAGTTTTCCACTTGATTTTCTATTCTCACTGATTCCATACTCAGATCACGCGTATGCTCAACCAATACTTGCACTCCATCTACCAAAACGCCAACTACTTCGTTTAATTCTGGTAGTTGAGACATTGCGTTATTAGTTGTCGTGGTTGAATGAGCTGTCCCATCATGTACGTATGTTTCCATTTCCATATCATCTGATATTTGATTAGGTGCTAATTTAGCTTTCAATTGACGAGCAGCGGCAAGTATTGCATTTTGATGCTGTTGAGTGAGATAATGGTCATGAATATGAGCTCGCTCTACTCTATCTGAACAACCGAATTCTTTTAGAGGGCAAGCAACAATGGTTTTTTCACAATCATTTTGTTCGTGCAGTACTAGACTGTTTGCCGACGTGAAACGTTCACCACAACTTTCACATAAAATATCCGAATGGTTTTCTTCCAAATGAGTCTTTAAGAATAAAAGATATCAATAGGGTAGCCAAGTATAGGTGAAACACAAGTGAAATTTATTTCTAATTGTAAATACAATGGTTTAGTGCGTAGCATTACCTCATAATCTTTATATATTCCTTGCCAGTCGCAATGGTAACATTCTATTTCCAGCCCTGACATATCATTTTTAAATCCCTTGTCAGAAAATACCTAAAAATTGAGCGCATAGTGACAATAATACAACATCTAACGGTGCTTTTACCGTTTCCTTTGGAACTTCTGTATGGCAATGTGTGCATCTTATTGTTTCCCTTAGAAACAAATAAATAGGTGTATTCGAATAAGGCAAATTACATTCTTACCCGTCAACTGGTTCGACACATGACTTACAAAAGCGATGGGAACAGGTAAGTTGCACTGGATCTCGTAAAAGAAGTGAACATATGCCGCAGAAAAATATTAGACCAATTGCAGCTTTATTTCTAACGGCAAAACCAACCAGTTTCTCGGTCGACTACAATACAATTGGTAGATAAATATCAAGATGAACTCTTTTCATCAGTCTCTTACTTTTGGTAGTAAACGAATATTTGCATCGATGGATAGTCTGGATACATCAGAAACTGCGTCAGCATCTGAAACGTAAATAACAGTTAGCGTTTAGTGATCAATTATCACAAGCAATCTAGCCATGGTAATAGCAACTAAATATTTTCGGATTATCCGTTTCATTTGTATACATAGGATGATTAAAAAGTTCCCGGCATGACCTTCCATTTTAACCGTTTAAGACGATGGAAAACTTGTCATTTTTTATGTATATAGCGTTATATCTTAGCGATCAATTTATAAAGTTAAAAATTGGTTCGTTTTTGGTATATGCTGTATGATGAGCGGATCTGGCAGATATTTGTTAGTACATCATAACAAGAGCCAACTTTAACTGTACAGCAAGACACATTCATGCAAAGTTGCGTGATACATTGAACGAAGGTTATGATTCCTATGGCTGAATTATTGAATGTGTCCATCAAAGTAGACAAAGAACAACTTCATTAGAAGTTCATTCAATCATTAGTCGACTATTAAACAGTGTTACTGATAAAATCTTGAGGCCGTTTATTTATTAATTTGAACTTGTATATGATATATTATCATTAAAGGTATTATTTCGCATCAACTGGAATCGTTGACATCTGGTCTATTTGATATTAAACCGTGTCATGATAAAATTAAGTAATATGAGATAAATTGTATCAAAGCGCATCTTTGACAAAAAGAAATGATACCGATGTGTCATCTTTCGTATTCTTCTGTTCTGATGTGAGCAAGTTTTTCGTCATTTGATTATTCGAGATAATAACTTAGCAGCTTTTTAGATGCGAAGTTATTAGAATAGCCATAATCAGAGAGTTTCATGCCCATACAATAAATTGATTGATTGATTAATTAATTGGAACTTTGTATGAGACATTGGCGTGTGTCTCGAATGTTTAATACGTCGAGTTTTTCCAAGCATAATATCTTCAAGAAAAAATTGAATATTCCGAGAACCTTTTAATCACCCTATGTATGTGAGCGATCGTCCTACTCCTCAGGGTGGAACTGACTCCGTAGTGTGCAAAATTAGGGAGTAGAATATATCCTCACATACATATGTTGTTACCAATGAATTAATTTAAATGCATACCATAAACTTACTATAAGAAGACCAAATTATTAAGGAGATAAATATATGACTGCACGAAAAATCCATAGCAGACGTTTTGTTGGTAAGTAATATATCAAACGGCGCAAATAAGAGCATATATATAGCTGAATAATTCAACCACTGTTTATAGACAACTTCCGCGCGCCCTTAGTAATCATAAAAGAAATTTCCAACATAACACACTATTTGATGACTCAGAAGGCAATGTGTGCTCTCTTCTCTGGGAAAAAACCTATTTAAACGGTTTCTACCAACATGCACTCGAATAATCTCTCGACTCTTTCTCTAAGGGCGGGCGTACTTCTTTTCTTAAAAGGAAAATGAAAACCCCACAAATCAAAAGGGAGAAAACGAAGACTAGTCATATGCCCATATGAGAAAAGAAAGGAAAGCGTCACACGTCTTAACATATGATCTATAGATATTTGATAAAGAGCGTTAAAAATCTTCTTATCAACACGCTATACTAATCAGAACCTACATGACTATGTGACGCAGTATATTAACGTCAGTAAGATGTCTCTCTTCTATAAATGCCATTCTTGTTCTTTCTTTCTTGGAAATATCTTGAAAGAATATTTCGTGTATTTATATAGTCCTTATAGAAATATATAATTCAAGATTTGTCTATTTCATTGTTAATTTTCATTTATTTTCAAAATAAGAATTCCATTCACTACAAGATATGATAGACTCACGAAACAGGATGAACGCATCTTGTTTCATAATTTAAGTGTAGATTTTATGTTGAGAAAAAGTCTAGACTGTACCAAAATTGATTACATTTCAAATCGAAGTCGTTTGAGAACAGATCGAACCTTTGCTTGTATGTGATAGGCATGATAGAAAAAATAGTAAACGATTGAAAGGCCACGTGTGGTAGAGTTTTATTTTATGACATTCTTCTTCCGAGGAAGAATTTTGATTAATCGATTAATAAACACACATTTAAAATTCGAAGAAAAACTTCTAAACAGGCAATCACTGAAGCATGAGGTAAATCATATATTCTAAGTAAGAAAAGAAGAAATTAAACTACATCGAAATACAATATTACCCTTTCGAGTTCAACGTTTCTTTTATCATTGTTGCCACTAATTCATCTAGTGATATACCAGAAGCTTTCGCCATGTATGGAATTCCACCTCCACCATCGAAAGAACAGTACAAACCAGCTTCTATGAACCAGGGCTCTCCACTTGGATCGATTCGAAAGTCGAATGCACTATAATGACGACAGCCTAAGGCGACATGACACTTCTTTGCCACGTCTTGCACTTTTTGGGTGACGGGATCATTAGAATCGACAATCCAATATCGCGTACCCCAGTCTTTTGGCCAGCCAAGAAATTTCCCATTAGCATCTAACTCTGGAAACTTTTCAACATGAGTTCGTACTGGTCGCTCATGCGGGTCGATTGCATATTCTTCAATAGGCAGAGCGATGAGTTGACCGTCTTTGACAATGATACCGCAACGCACTTCTCTACCGGGTGGAATAAATGTTTCGACAATAACCTTGTCGGCCTGTTCAAATGCTTTTGTCAAAGCTGTATCATAGCCACTAGCATCTTCGACAAGAGACATTCCCAGAGAATTATCGCAACAAGTCGGTTTCACAATTGCCGGAGGTGGAATAGTCGGTACATCTCCGTGACGTAATATTTCACCAAAAGGCACTTTGACTCCTGCCGCAGCAACGATTGCTTTCGTTTTATCTTTATGAACTGCGATTGACATGATTTCGGCCGTATTGCCCATATAAGGAATCTTTAACATATCGAATAATGCACGATAGTGAGTCATTCCATGAATGCAATACATGTGTGGCATAACCAGATCAATTTTCTGCGCCGTTATAAGCTGTATAGCTTCAGCTAGCGGCATCGGCTTGGCGGCGTCAAAATCTTTTTCGTTCAGGGTTGAAGGAAATCGCCATTGGCCATCAACCGTCACCACTGCGATCACAAAATTTTGTAACAATGGCACATACGGTGCCATATTCAAATTACATTGAGCATTTCGGTATGACAATCCATAATAAAAATCGTTGAATGGCGAGCCAGTTACATGAAGGATGCGATATGTTGTCATGTCGTATTTTCCCCTAGACAGTGTCGTTGTTCTTATTGATTATACAGCATATAGAAAAATTCTCCTTTACTATGTTATTACACTGACTTGATGTTGGCTTGGTGCACTCTTCGAGAAGAGGTAGGTGACAGAGTAAAACAGAATACGCTGTTCTTTTGACGATGATATTTATAACGAGAAGAAACGAAGAAAAAATCTATTTTTTTAAAACTTTTGTGCAGTAGCGACAATCGAAAAAAAGATCGCAACAGTGTATAAAGGAAAGGAAGAGCAAAATAACGCGCGTGATAGACAAACCATATCATCAGATGCCAAAACCAAAGAGAAAGAATAAATAACTGAACGATAGGAGATAAAAACCAGAGATGTGGAAATAAAAGATGCAAGAAATTGTTTCAGAAATGGGATTTGATTTCACCGATGAGAAAAGGAACAATTATGCACCGACACAAGTTTTCCTATTTTAAACGACTTTATACTCTCATTCATATTGATGTTTAGTTATGATCAAAACAGTTCACTCTTCAAAATGAATAGTACTTGCTCACATTTAATCATGTTTACTATTTTGTTAAATTAATTACCATAATAAATTTCTTTTTTTTTTATTAACGACGCAATAAGTTCTTTTTTCTTTTCCTTTTTCTCTATGGGTGAGGGTGAAGCAAGAACGTTTTTCTCTCCACGTGTTTAGTATGTTGTTGTCGTATAGTTTTTACCTTTTAAGCAGTATAATAGATAAAAATGTAGGTTTCTTCATCCGTGAAATTTTCTGTTCTTGTTTATTATGCGCTGTTTTTGCTCGAAAATTGTCTTTGCTTAGGATATATTACTGTAGTTTTAATCTCGTTTATTTTTTTTAGTTTTATCACAGTTCAACTGTTGTTACACGATAATAAACGTCAATCTTTGATAGTTTGGCAACTCTTAAAATGGGCACGATGAGATTCATTGGTCTCCTATGCCGTATGTGATATACATCCATGATGTTTTTTTTATGAAAAGAATGATTACTCGTTTTTCAGTTTGCGCTTCGATCATAGTGATCACTGAGGGATTGATGATTTTACCTCAGTTGGATGACGAGTCTCTCAACGACAAGGAACGCATGATATGTAATGTCATTGTTCGAGCTGTACATGACCTGCATGTTTATCAAAAGAAGTCCGTGCAGGAGATTAATGTGTATTTGGATGCTGACTGTAAAAAACTTGTAAATGAAGATCTCGTCGATCAGGTCAGTTCGCTGACACAGGTTTTCCTGGATGATGTTTCAATCACTGTGAATTTTAGTGTCATGAAATGGTAACTGAAAATGGCGCACAGATCTACGAACATGTGAAGAATGGCATCGTAAGTTTACGAGGAATTGTGATGATGATATTGTTCCAGTCATCGTCTGTAACAGGAAATGTCTCAAATCTGCCAAAAAATCAGCGATTTCAATGAAATAGATCTTCCATACAGTGACGACGACGAGAACAACTATGACGGTAAAACTAAAGTAAGATGACTTTTCGTTGAATTTTTATATCGTACACACTTCTGGTTGAAGTGTTCACGTAAAGGTAAAGACAAATGTCAGTGCTGTAAAATCCATGTCTTCAAGCGGAAAATGCGCCTTCATCAAGTTGTCAAACAGATTGCTCGAAAGCATCTTCGTATGTGTAGAAAATCTAGTCGAGTACTCCGCTGCCGCTTTTGGGTCCGGGAAAGGGAACGTCGTTTTCTAAAGAAAATTGAAAAGATTTGTCCGTGCACTATTTGTACACATCTTGGCTATTGCAAGAAAAGAGCCGAGGGTAATAATCTCGCAAATGTCGATCTTTTCGCTAATCAATCATCGCTATTGCTGGAAATGTTACTTGACCAACAATTGGACACTTTTTTTAGCAAGAATATTTGCAGTAACTTCGAATCATTGCAGGCAAGTTGTGTTCAGATTGCCGCATCGGTTGATAGCCATCATTATGGCAAAGTTCACATGGCAATGCTTCGAGATGATATAACGTGGATTGAAAAAGATCTTCAAAAGAGCATACAATCGATCAACGCCGATACCAACACCAAGCCATGCGGCGCATGTAAAGATACCGTTCACTTTTCCGCCAACTTCTATACTAAGAATTTAGTAAGTGTCATTTCACTTTCAGAAAAACAGACATCGCATAGAAATTGTCTTAGGGATTGGTGCGTGACACGTTGATGAACATTTGTGGACAATGGTCATCGAAAGAAGATTGTCAAGACGTTCTGAACAAGCAATTTGATGATGTTAAGAATTATTTGCATACATTGAAAGCAGATAGTATCTGTACAGTTAAACATCATTGTCCCGTGAATGTCAATGATAAATGTGCTGCGTGTGTTCAACGCTTTCAACCTCGCAAAGATACAGCTAAAAAATTTGTTGATCATTTCGCATCATATCTACCCAGTCTATGCAAAAATGCAGCCGCTTCACAATGTTTACAATTTGTCTCGGAAGTCACAGCTGAACTTCGTTCATTCATCGACGATTTCGATGTTCAGAAAACTTGTCTAGCAATGGGCTTTTGCGATGGGAATGCTGCTCAAGATTTAGATAGTTATGAACGTGCTTACGTAGAAGTCATGAAGAACGATGTGTGTTCAATGTTGAAACCTTACGAAAAACTTTGCGAGAAAGTCATTCAAGGTGACAATCTTGACACCGAAGAAATTAGTTTTATCGCCAAAAGCATGGAAGAATTCTCTTTACGTTGTGAATCTTCCCCGGATGAAATTGTTTCGAGCGTGGTGGATGCTTCCGAGGGAAAAGACAAATGTCAATGTTGCATCAATCACGTCATTCAGAAGAAGAAGATTATTAAAGAACGCATTGCCAAATATGTCGAACATATGAAAGAACTATGCAAACGTTGTCCAGCACGGGAAAAATGCGAACGTCATTGGGACGAAAAGAAGGCTCGATGGGATGCTAAAATAGATAAGATCTGCCCTAAAAGAGCCTGTGTTCATATGGGTTATTGTACTAATACACATCCATTCGCACAGCCATTACCATTTCGCATTGGTACTACCATTCTTCAACCTGAAATTGAAAAGAAAAAAAAATTGGTTTGAAGAACCATGGCGTACCAAATCATAAAACTGAATTCAAAATAAAATATACTCAATTTAATCAAGATTGCTTTTATCATATTCTTTATCTAATTAATCTCATATTTCTCGCATTCATTCATTCATTGTAGACATGCTTTGTAGTTACTACGATATTTTCAAATCGATTCAGAAACATTTTCTTTGTTCTCATAAGTGATCCTTTGTCTTCATTTCATTATATTCGAACTTAACTAAATAAATATTATATGAAATGGCAATAGTTCTTTTTTACTTTTCTTAATCCTTCAATATTTCGCAATTTCTTCTACGGTGGTATATATACTTGAGTGTGAGTATGTGTGTTCTTGCGAAATTTTCTAACTAAGAGACATCGCGATATGAAGATTATTTCTCTTGTCTCATTGGTACTCGTATTTCAATGCACAACAATCAGTGCTCAGACGACTGTATCCATCTCAGCAACAAGTGAGCCGTATGTCGAAAATCCTCCTCCAAATCCTCCTATGTATCCTCCAAGATGGACAGCAACTGCACATTTTCAATTTGTAAACATGACGAGCAAGAAACCTGCAGGTTCTGGTATCTTATATCAAATTATTGATTCACCCAATCAAAAATTTCGAGCTGATGATCTCTATTTTGCCGGAACATTTCCTTCTCCATACGACACAGTTTTTACCTCATCGGAGCCATCTAACACGTATCAATACTATGCGAATGTCACCTCGGATGGAGTATTCTGTATTACATATCCAGGCAAGCCAACAACACTGTCACAAAATTGGGTAAAAGACTTCTGCTCGTACAATTTGACACTCTATTATGGAACAACAAAAGCCTATCGATGGAACTGTGCTACTGATGTTGTGTTTTGGTTTACTGATACGGCAGCTGATGATGGACGCCTGATTTATCAGCATACTTTACCACAGCCGTTCTTTGATGTTTATCAATACCTATGGTTCACAAATTATACTGTGGTCGCTGAAGAATTTGATCCAACCATCTTCGTTCCACCAAAAGGATGGAATTGTGAACGTCGGCCAACCAGTGGAGTCGTAAAATATACATTTTGCGTCACACTGCTATTTACTTCTATGCTGCTTTTCGTTCTTGAAAATATGAACGGGTGGTCCTGAATACTGAAAAAGGCACTTTGCGTTTTCACACGAACAGTCTTCATTTTGTGCATGTTTGAGAGCTATAAGACCAATAAACTTGTCGCCCCTGCAATAGATTTTTGCCCAATGTTCACATTTCTCATCGACTCCGAACAAAATTGGTTAGTACGTACTGCGTAAATAAAATTGTAAAAAGAGCAAAATCTCCAGTGAAGTGTCCGTTGGCACAACCATCAACAACGCTCTTTTCTTTTATGAAAACAAAAGATAAAGGAAAAACACATGTTATTCATATAACATCTGATGACTGAATACATACAAGTAATTGAGACCATATTTTTCTTGCACATATTTTCCATTAACAAAATATTCATGTATATTTGTCTTTAAATCATCGAAGGCTGTCAGTAATAGTTATTTGGACATTTATTCATACTTTTTCTGTTAATTGATATAACCAATTCCTTGGTAAATCAGCCAATCGATCTCTTCTCCATCTTCATGTTACATACGTAGCGTTTCTTAGAAGTCGTTGCAGTGCACTACCCATCAGTCTTTCGGAAACTGTCAAACGTACATTTATTAATGCGGTTCGCATTTGTATTCCTTTTTGAATTTCTATCAATTCCAGAATTCTTCGACGGAATTAACTTCATCCTTGCGTATCTCTTGGAAACAGTGTTATATGACAAGTTTATCAAAGATTTGATAAAAAATGAACATGTATGAAAATGATTAGGAATATAAAACAAGAAAATGTCGAATAAATGCTCGAAATAGTTTGCATGAATTGGATCGACGTGGCAGTTGATGGTGTTGGTTGGAGATCGGACAGTTCGGGTATATTTTCCATCATCCAAGAAAGATAGGCGCTTACACGTAAGAATACAGTAGGTGATCGCGGCAAACCACAGCCCCATGCATACGATGTGATACCAATGAGATACCAACGGCTATCCAATGGATCTTGTATCATCAATGGCCCACCCGAATCGCTCTAGTTTTTAGAAAAATGATCAAATATTCATTATGATCTAAAGGTGACACTTACTCCACACGTTCCATAACCACCTTCGAGACGTCCAGCACAAAGTTGCAATGATGTATCCATAATTAACGGCCCTTGATCAGTCTTGGTGCACTCCGGTGACGAATTATTTAACAATTCCAGAGTGACTTCTTGCAAAGTGAGAGATAAACTAGTGGCATTCGAGCTCGTCATACCCCAACCCAACGTTGTTGTGTTCATTTTATCGTTGATATTCCGATTTTCCGGAAGAAAAGGGAGACAAATGGTTTCAAATAGCTCTTCTGTATCACGTTCCAATTCAAGAACAGCGAAGTCATAGATGGTTTGAGAAAAGTCAACTGTTGATGTATAGTTTGGATGACGATATATTTTTTTGACAGGAGAAACAAAATGATCTGTATCATTCAAATAATGAAGACCAATATGTACCTGATATTGCCAGGGGAGAAATAGATAAGTACAATGCCCAGCTGTCAGAACAAATCTTCGATGAATTAGCGATCCTCCGCAGAGATGTTGAGGAACACCTTGTGCTCGCAAAGATATCATCCATGGCCAACTACCAATGGGCGACTCAACACCACCCGCTATTCTGGACTTTGGTTGCATACCACAATTAGACGCATTGACGAATGAATCAAACTTAGAAAGTACGATCCAAAGAATTAGAATAAAACTTCTCATAAAAATGCCTTTTTTTGTTATGTGCAATAGTATAAAACATGTGATGAAGAAAAATTTGCATGTATATATATATAAGTGTCAATATTGATTTGTTGTTCTTATCATCGACGTTAGTCATTTTCTCCGAGTGTTCTTTTTTGTTCGTTCTACAATCACTCCAAATGCTATATAGAATGAAAGAATTTCCTGTTGCACATAAACTACTACATAAATCAGAACGTCCGATTGAAATGAGGCTGTTTTCCGAAAAGAAACTTGTGCACATCTAGTTATCATGTTTTCACTCGACTAAAAATAAACTCAATTCGTTTCGTCATTAATTCATAAACAGATGTGTACATTCTCCGAAGTGCTTTCTTTCCAACAACGATGAAACTTTGATAAAATCTTTCATCGAAAGGCGTATTTTTTCGTCACTTCATCTGCTCCTTTCGCCGAATGAAAGATAAAAGATAACGAAATGATGTAGATTAACAAATATTTGTCGTTCTTCTTTCAAGCAAATCATCTGTTGACTTCGACTAAGTTTGTCGGAGCATTGGAACAACACCAGTTCGTCGAAGGGAAAGTACAACAGTATGCTGGTCTCCAAATGATATAAGTGCCACAGCACACGGCCAGCAACGCTAGTAGTGTGGAAAAGATGCGGGCTTTTAGAATACTGTAGAACGAGAAGAAACTCTTCAAAATATATCATATAGTCAATGAGAATTCTTTGAGCAATACGATGCAAAACGGAAAATTGTTCTATGATAAACAACAGAAGATGATCGCTTAACCGATCAATCCAGCAGGTCGACTCACTCGACGAAATTCTTGTAATCCGAATCCATACACATATTCTCCGACCACACTTGAATGTTACGGTATGTGTATGAGTCAAAAATGTTTATGAATGTCAGATTCAGGCTATTATTATGTTACATGTTCGATGAATGGACAATTTGGACAAGCCTGCATGCAGTATGTTCTTCATTCATAAACTCAATATAAACTGTGTTGTAATGATATAGGATCACCTTGTTTACCATGAACAAATGGTGGATTTTGACAACGCTGTGATTGCATGGTACTCTAATTTTATTTGGTAGTGTGCTGTTTCTTGTGATTATGAAGAGAAATCGAGATCTTTATGCGAGAAAATAATCAGATGTAACTCTCGCTTTTGAATGGAACATATTGAAAAAAGTTTAAAGGTAAATTCAGTTGCACGTTTTCTTTGCTTCCTAATCATCAGTAAAAATATCTTAATAACCACCGTGAATTTCTTGGATATAACAAGAGAAAAAGTGTGTATATGGATACTCGTTTTAATTATAAATTCTGTATAAAGAAGAACTTCAATGAAAATGGTATTTCACTGAATATTCCCTCTTCGAACAAAAGAAGCCTGTCAGGCAATAATGTTAGAAAATTTTATCCATAAAAAAGTCATTCTGTGATGAGTAGCAAAGAAAAGACTTCATAGCCAGTGAATACCATGTAGTCAAATCACATTGCTTTGTAAGCAGCGATCAGAATTATCACAATAACAAAACCACAAATGAATATGCTGAACGCTGTTAATAAACTAGACCAAATAAGATAATCTAATGGTTGTGGGGGTTTTTGTGTTACAACCGGTACCGGGAAATCGTCGGATTGTAATAAAGAATTGACATGTCTTCTTGTGGGAATTTTAGATGTAACTGCTGTTTGCTCGTAGTCAGAGCCCATTTTTTTTCAAACAATGTTATACGGTTGCACGCTATGCGGAGAGGAGAGAAAAAATAATAAAACATGTGCGATGTGACTATACTCAATCATGCATTGAGACACACATATGTTCGAAAGAGAAAGGAATGATGTATATATTTTATTTATACTGTTACGTTACACTCGTTTGAAAGAAAGATACAAACTACAGATGACGAGATTTCCTTTGATGCTGACCACCATTTAGTTAAGTAATCCATCGCTCTTGGATTTTGTTTTGGATCTGTTTACAAAATGCTTCAGTTTGGTCCGGTGGTACTTTATCAAGCTGATTAACAACAATATCATAACGAGTTTTCTATTAGTTATGACGCTGAAAATGCATTCATCAACTACGTCAACGAGTTTTCTTATTCAATGCTTAATTTTTGTTCGACTATTAATCTCTATACTACGCATACATTCAGAGTGTTCTAAATCACCTTATAATTTACTCAACGTATATAAAGAAAACTCAAAATGTTATTCGATTCTTTTTTTAATCGCATTGCCTTGGATTCGCGCTCAAAACAAACATGTCTGCATAAGAAGAAATAGAAAAGAACGTTCTCTCCATGTGCTCTGAAAATTCGCCTTGGCAAGTCGTTTTCTTTAACATTGTACAACTATTACGTTGCCGACAGCAGATTTCAACTGAATGACATACGATTTAGCATACAACCGTGCAAACATTCAAGAAACACGACATATCTTAGTGATATAGTTAAACTCCTACGCAGGATGCCATGACACGCACACATTTACTGATAATGATCAATGTATCGAGTTTGTTCTCGACAACACTCGTGCCAAAGTGTGACTAATCAATTCAGGATCACTCGGGCAGTATATTGGATCGTGTATACATATGATATCACAAATCTTGATTCGATTTTCCTTTTTTGTGACAATAAAAATCAGCACGAACGCTGGGCCAAAAAGTGGTGTGAGAGCGAAGTTTGCTTCCATAGACATTACAATTATTTATCAACAGCTAAAAACAATCATTCGCATCAACACGAACTCAATGCTTTTCCTATAAGTTTCGTACAATTTGGCAAGAGGCTAGATCAACTGGATCCATAATTTTTGTACACGTAAATCATCAACGAAATACTATTCACCATCAGATCTGAAGTTGAAGATAAACATACGAAAGAATTTGCCAATAATGAAATCGATCGAAAGAAAGCGAAGCAATTGGAAGATGGGTATTATAAACACACACAGATTTGATGGCATTTAACAGAGGGATTCCTATATAGTCTGCTGAATAGTTCATTAAGAATAATGGATAGCGAAGTGATTACACTAATGGGTTTCTTCATCGACACATCGAAGAGCTGCGCAAACAACAATTTGGCGGTGTGTCGAATATTAAAAGCTTCACAGTTTATCGTGGTCCAGGATTGACAAAGGCAGATTTCAATGAATTAGTAGTATCGAAAGGTGGTTTGATGTCTTTCAATAATTTCTTCGCAGCCAGTGAAAATCCCAATGCCTCTCTCATTTTCGCTCCGACAGATCAAAGGAAAAATTCTGTCGTAAGTGTTCTTTTCGTGATGAAGATTGATCCAAAACAATTAACAACATCATTTGCGTCGATTCGACACGTCAGTCAGTTTGCGGAAGAAGAAGAATTATGTATGCTGACGAAGCGAATTTGAAAAGAGTTTACCATGTGCTGAAGAATGAATACGATTGGGTCTTATGCTGTTTAATATAGGGCAGTTAAATATAGCTGAGCAAATCTATCAGGTTCTATTATAAAGAATATAGAACACTTGCTACAAAGATATATCCGTACGACGCGTATATATGATACTCCAACAAATTTTCACCCTCACGATTAAAATACATTACTCACAATTATTGCGGTATTATAGTCATCGATAAATAGAATAGTAAGACACACAGAAATGTGCAAGAAAGAAAATTTTAAAAAGTCAGCGTTAGATCGTGAATATCTAGAGTTCATCATCGGTAAAGAATGAATACTGGTTTACTTTGCCTGAATGAAAACATCGTATTTCTTTCTGCAATGATTGTACAGATAAATAAATCAACAGCTTTTTATTTTCCTACGGCTTACATTTGACAGCTGACAGTTTTACGAAAGTCACTCGCAAACATATTGGCTGTTGTTGATCAGATAGGTCACGTCAATTCATTGCCCATCGATGAAATCCAGTCAACGGCATTTCGTCTCGAAATTGTCGAGTATGTAGCTGGAGCTATCCTACCGTTTGAGAATAATTTCTGACTTATGATTTTGCAATAAAACGAGATTGTAATTACATATGTAATTGTACCACCAACGGAATCTAACTCTAAAGTTCACCACTCATGAAATGACCGATGAAGTTACATTAAGCGAGTTACACATGAATATCGTTCCGATCATTAACTTCAAAATAGCCTGTTCCAGATATCGATTATTCTCTTGCCTTTTAGCGGAAAATCTAATAAGAGCTGTGTTGATTCTTGCTCTCAACTATACTTTAAATGTACTTACATGATAAAATAGCACGTGAAACAATCATATTTCACCTGCCATTCCCTACATACGATATATATTTACACGAGAAAACTAGGTTATTTTATTTCATCAGATTTATTTATAACCTATTTTAACTGGCATACAAAAAGCAAGATCATTGAGAAACCAAATAACGATAGATATTGTCTCTCTTTATACAGTGTAAGTAGCCTATTGTCTATGTCCTTTCTATTTTGAAAATGACTTCATACAAGAACGGATATATGTTTGAGAGAAATTCATTGAAAGTGTGAAACCATTTAATGAAAAGTTGACGAGATGAATGAAAATGCACACGCATAGTTTATTATTATTGTTTTCGCTAGCAATTCCAACCTTGAACAGAGCTGGATTAACACAATTGTAAATGACAAATATCTTTCTGACTCTAAAACCGGATTCGGGGGAATTAACACCATCAATGATTATAGATCCATAGCACTTCGACAAAATGCAAAGAAAACCTCAATAAAGATAATATAGTTTGAATTGCTTCTTGTTAATTTTGCATCATAATCAACAACCATACCATGATTCTACCCTTAATTCGTTCGAAAATCACAGTTGTACATATGTTTGTCATAGTGAATAAGAGCTGACTATTTGTTTACCCTCAAGAGAAATGTTATTAACAAAGCTTTTGAGTAATCCGTAGGAAATATGTAAGCAACGACTAATGTTCACCACTGTACATTCCTTGGAAGAAACGTTTATCAGTATATACGTAATTATATATTATCCAGTTGAGTAAAACTTAAGTTCGTCTGTTTTATGTGCATTTTGTTGATTATTCGTTCTTGTAGTGTCGGAATCGATCATTTATGCAGTGTTCTGAGAGGTTTTTCACTGATATTCGTGGGTTTATTTTATTCGAACTTGATTATGATCTATGAAATTCAGGAAGAAGAAAAAAACGATGATACTTATTCGATAACCGGAAATAAAAAAAGAATTGGTTGTAAAAATAATCCTTCGCGTTCATACAGATCGGAGCACAGCTATTTGTCTCGAATTCTAGTTTGTCTGGAAGCTTCACAGAGAAAACTCTGTCTATGATTGATGTCGTATGTTTAACGCAGTATTTAGACAATCTAGGCGCATATAACTTCTATAATTTTGCGCAAGTCATGTCTCGTGACGTACATTGGATTATGACAAATAGTTTGGCTAGCAAACTTTAATTTTGATATGGTGTACTAGATTTCAAAAGGTCTGTAAACATCTCCAAGCGCAGTATGCGTATATATTTAAGTATTATCAACTCGTCCACAGACCAGACATAACCGAGAAAATCATAGCTGCTAAAGTATCGAAATGTGTTATCTTATCAAATGATTAGACCCTCATTATTCAGCTAAGATTTTCGCTTATCCTGACCGTACAGTTACAGTATTGCATCCGTACCTAATAGACCGTTGATTTCAGGGAACACAATGATGATTAATACCAAAAGTTTCTTCTATTTGATTTTCATTCCTTCAACTTTTGGTTGGCCACAAATCAATCTCGAACGTACTGACTGGACATATGATATAGAAAAGTATAATAATCTGCAACATGATTGTCTTCTGGTCGCATCGACAACAGAATTCGTATTTAATGCCCGGCAGGTAATCGCGTACTGTTTAACCGAATCGTCGCCGAAATGGAACATACGACCGAATACGGTCAATCAAAACGTAACTTTTGCTGAACTTTACCATCAAGGTGTCATCTGGAAACAGTTATATCTGTGGTCAGCACCTCTTGATACAATCGAACGTTATCAAATCTATCTCAGTCAACGAGAAATATCAATGGATAACGATGTCTTTTATAATTGCACATCACCCAGATTCGGCCCACAATGTCAATATTCATTCGATATTCCCGGTTTAAATTATTCATCAGTATTCGAATTAGTTCACAAATTTTATATAAAACCGTATGACCCAGAGACGATAACCTGCTATATTGACATAGAATGTGATCTTGGCTCGGCAGCACGCTGTCTCGATTGGACCGATGTTTGCGATGGTGTCGTGGACTGTTTAAATGACCAAATCGATGAAAAACATTGTTGGCAAATGAGCGTTAATGAGTGTCAAGAGCAGGAATTTCGCTGTGGAGATGGACAGTGCATCCCAATGGAGTTTTCGAAAGACAATGAATATATTTTTGACTGTCTCGATAAATCGGATCTTGGCAAACTTACTAACCAAATGGGCTTTTTTCCGTACACTAGCATTCCTTCCTTCTATACGGAAGATATTAAGTGTTCCAGAGATTCCCCTCAAAAAGAAACAGATCCGACTAGCTCATGTGTACACAAGCGTAGAGAACTACTAATGAAGTTGATGGTCCTAGAATCACCGAATTCCATAACGAGCGATTGTTGGTCGCTGTTAAGATGTCATCTTAAAATATTCAGTACATTCGATTCAATGTGCAAAGGTATTAATTATAACAATAAATCGATCGAATTAATAAATAAAACATGTCCTGATTTATTATTCATCGACACTGTGCTCTCGCTCTTTGGTCATGTTCATTTCGTCTATGAAAAAGAGTTCATCCTAAACTCAACGGACAATATCAAGCCTCATTACATTTGCTACGACAATCGACTTTGTGACGGGTTTTATTCAAACAGAACAATATTATCATTTAACGATCGCACGTGTCGTCGCCCAGAAGATTTTCCTCTTCAATTCGATCACGATATATCCATGACTTCATATCGACGGCTTCTAAGTGAACAATTATATCACTGCAATACCATTTTTTATCATGATTTGTCCATCTGTAATCATCCGATGATGTACAAATGTAAGAATTCATCAAAATGCATTTCACATCGTCAGCTCTGCGACAACAAGAACGACTGTGACTACAAAGATGATGAGCAATGTTTGATAGTTAATGGAATTTGCTCCGTAGCTGATTCTCCGATGCTCTTTAAATGTATGTCGATCAATAGATGTGTGCCGATGAATCGAGTTGCTAATAACATTTATCGCGGTGGTACAGGTATGCCATCCATACAATGTGACGTTGGTTCCATTGATATCAGTAATTTCGGAGAACGTATAAACTTTGCAGGACTATGCGATGGCGAAGTACATATAGGTCCCATCGTCATCGATAACAAAAATGAAACCGATGAAACTGAATGCACACATTGGTCATGTCATAATTACTACACTGAATGTGATGGTGTGTGGAATTGTGCGAATGGAGCTGACGAAGCCCACTGTTATGGAAAATTTTCGTACGAATGTCCACTTTATCATCATATATGCATTTCACCTGTTACATACAATTTAACGTGTTTACCATTTGAAAAAGCTAATGACGGAATCATCGATTGTCTTGGTGCTACGGATGAGCCAGCAGTGTGTCGACGAGGTCTTCAAGAGCTTACTACAAGGTATTTTCATTGCAAAAATGATTCAAGTCCAAAGTGTATAACAGAGGGTTGGTGCTTGAAGTCTAAGCGATGTATGCATAAAGATGAGGAGCCACTCTGCGACAAAGCTCGAATCTCTGACAACTCCGTCTGTGATTGTCAACGTGAAAGTTCTTCTGCGATTAATACATTCTTCTGTAGCCGTTTTTGTCCGAAAGCTTCGAAGCGTACCTTTAAATTATCAGAAAGCATGCGATTTCCGAAAGAACTGGCAGTACAGCAAAGTAAGGACTCAATATACGAACATCCATTTGGTACGGTCAGCTTTCTTCAAACGATTCATGGATATAATCAACGTTGCCATCGTGGCATTCCATTACGCATCTGGCTCGATCACAAAAATAATTTGTCTAAAGAAGGTTGTCTTTGTCCTCCTAGTTATTACGGTGAAATTTGTCAATACCAAAACCAACGTGTTAGCCTAACAGTTCGATTTCGAGCTTTTAGTGATTCTCGCCGTACTCTATTTATCATTCTTTTCTCACTGATCGATATCGATGATAATGAACGACACATTGAAAGTTATGAGCAGCATACGTATCTCTATTCGAAACATTGTTCAATCAAGTACAATGTTTATCTCCTGTATCCAACTCGTCCAAAAAATCCTCGTAAAAACTATTCAATTCATATTGATGTTTATGAAAAAATTTCTTTATCGTATCGTGGAAGTTTCTTTCTGCCTATTCCATTCTCATTCCTACCTGTCAATCGTATTGCGGTGCAAATGAATATTTTACCGAAACATCAAATAACGAAGAATTGTTTCATCGATTCATGTTTACATGGTCAATGTGTCGAATACATGAATGAGAAGACAATTCAGTCGTTTTGTCGTTGTGAACAGGGCTGGTACGGGAAATTCTGTAACATCTCTCGCGTTTGCCAATGCTCATCGAATTCCATTTGTGCCGGTGTTTCTCGCAGCAACCAATCGATCTGTATTTGTCCGATGAATCGATGGGGTAATCGATGTTTACTTGAAAATAACGTCTGTCAGCCGAGCGATCAGAGCGATATTTGCCTTAACGGTGGCCAATGCATAGCTGATGATGAAAAATTAATGATCGATGATCAAATCATTTGTATTTGTCGGAAAGGATATGACGGGAAACGATGTGAAAATCGTGTTAATCAATTGATTTTATCATTTCACAAAAAAATTGATCTACCACAAGCGATGATTGTTCATTTTATATTTATACCTACTAATATGAACGAGATATTTACAAACGGTTCAACTGTACAAGCTATATTTCCCTACCAATCGACAACAAGTGTTTATTGGCCTAACAAATACCATATTTCATTTGTTCAATTAAGGAACAATTACTATCTAATACTCGTTCAACATCAGTACAATACAACAGCAATCGTTCATCGACAGATTCATCCATCAGATCGTTGTAAACATCTCAGTGAAGTGCTGGATAAACACATCGTTCAATTGTACCTTGTTCGTCGAATGAAATATTATCAAATTCCATGCCAAAAATATGCCCCACATCTACAATGCTTTTATGATCAAGATTATTTCTGTTTTTGTTACAGTTCTGCTTACCAGCGCTTAGCGAATTGTTTTCCATTTAAAAGTATAATTCAGCATGATTGTTATGGATACAGTATTTGTGAGAACAATGCTCGATGCATACAAGACTCATCAATGTGCCCCAAATCAACGATATGTGTTTGTCCGGATTGTTATCATGGAACACGATGTCAATTTAGTTCGCATTTATTTGGCTTATCACTTGATGGAATTATTGGTTTTCATATTCAACCCTTTGTTAGTTTCACTTCTCAGACATCAGTGGTAAAGATCAGCTTGTGTTTAACAATAATTATCATTTTACTCGGCGTTGCAAACAGTATACTCTCTTGGATAACGTTTCAAGATGAAGAATCAAGAAAGAATGGATGTGGATATTATCTGTTAGCATCGTCATTCGTTATTTTATTAACAATGCTTGTTTTCGGAGTGAAAGTTATCATTTTACTTGTATCACAGATGACATATATATCCAATGAGTTATTTCTCAAAATTCAATGTCACACACTTGATTTCTTCATCCGACTAGGCCTGACTATGGATCAATATTTGAATGCATGTGTTGCTGTAGAACGCTTGTTCACTGTTATCAAAGGAGTTAATTTTGATCAGAAGAAAAGCAAACGAGTAGCCAAATATACTGTCGTTTTTCTACTCATTGGGATTGCAACGACAAATCTTCATGATCCAATTCATCGCCGATTGATTCATGACAATAATGAAGATGATGTGGAAATGGAAAAACGAATTTGGTGTGTTGTGAATTATTCATCGGCTGTTCGAACATATAGTTTGATTATAAATTTAATCCATTTCTCAGCTCCATTTATGCTGAATTTAATATCCGCTTTGTTGATTATTAAGATGACAGCCATGCAACGTACAACTGTTCGTACTACTGAATCTTACCGAGACTTATTACTAACACAATTTCGTGAACTTAAACATCTTCTCATCGCTCCGATAGTTCTCATTATTTTAGCATTACCACGTTTTATTCTTTCGTTTATATCAAATTGTATGAAATCAACAAATGATGTCTGGTTACCATTAATGGGCTATTTCATCTCATTTATCCCTCCGATGTTTACATTGGTTCTATTCATTGTTCCATCGGAACATTATAGAAAACAATTTACCAAATCCGTGAAGACCTTACGAACTACGGTTGCATCCAAAATACTACTCAAGCAAAATTGAATGCTTATAATTAAAACGAAAACAGACTTCTTCTCTTATTACATATACGTATATTTAAAGTTGAAAATTTGAGGAAAAAAAATCATTTGAAATAGTGATGTCCGAAGTACGAGATGAATATGTGGTAATAATTTGAGAGTGAAGAAATGATAGAGACATTCCTCTTTTAATACTAATACGAACTTATGATTATCGAAATATATATTGATTAGATAATATCTATTTTTTACAAGAAAAATCTTCATATCATGTCGCAACACTTAGCGTTGATTCTGCACGTTTTGGTGCGCCTTTCAATAACATCTGTTTGTCATCATTTCGAAGACACAAGTAAAAGATGATTCCAATGATAAACGTACCGATAGCCAATGAGACATACATCCAAATAATGATTGGATCAGTATTCACTGGTACGAGTGCAACATTCAGTAAACTTCCAACCGCTCTTGCACAAACGAACAGTGCCATGACGATTGATTTCATCGAAGTTGGCGCTTTCACATAAGCATATTCAATGCCACTGATAACTGCAAATATCTCGCCAATGCCGATAAGAAATCGAGCAGGAATTTGCCACGCAACAGTTATATTATTAAATTTCTGGCAAGTTGAACATGGTTGAACCGTATAATCAAAATTCGGTGCTGTTGAATAAATCAAATGTTGTACAATGGCAATCCATGCCATTCCTAGAGCAGTTACAATAAAACCCCAAGTGATACGTTCGATAGGACCGAATTTAATATGACACTTTCGCAACATTGGATAAACGATTTTATCGAAAATAGGCACAAATACCACAACGACCAGAGGATTAATAGTTTGCAGAAGATCATTCGGTAAAGGTCCTATACGAGAAGTGAGTGTTTGTTCATGTGAATATCAATACTTGCGAAGACTTCACTTACCGACATTCATTTGTGCAGCTTGTGATGTTAAATTCGTCACTTCTTGATTAAAACACATCCAGAAAAGTGGGAAAAAGACGAATACTCGACATGCATGAAACGTTTGTTTGAGATCATCGATAAATTCATTCTTTGTTTGTTCAGTCGTCCTTTTAGTATCGTTCGATACATGACGACCTTTTGCATAATCTAGCAGGTGTTCATTCGCAGATTGTTTACCTAATTTCCATCGATTCGCCAGCGCATTCCATGTCACACGAAATGCACGAACAACCAATGAACCCGTGGGCGACTGTCGAGTAAATCGACGACGACCAACGAATAACACGATGATGCAACATGGGAAGATGGCCGATGCAAGAAAATAGGCAAGCCAGAATGAATGATATTTTTCAACTGTTGGTGTAATTAATTCCGCAATAAATGCCCCGAAATTAGCTGCCCAATAGAACCAATTGAAAAGGGATTGGATGGTCCTAAAATACCACACTGAGATGTTTCACGAGGAAAAACACACAATCTGAATTTTACTTACATTTCTGGACTGAGAATTTTCCTTTGTCCTTTGACAACTAAATAGAAGAAAGAAGAGCTCAAACATTTTGAACAAAAGACAGCGAATTCTACCTTTGATCACAGGTGCTTTTCTGGAGTATTGTTCGGCCATAAATGGACCCATGATTGATTTGAATGCACCGACTGCTAGTCCAATCACAATCAGCGCACATATCAATCCAGGAAATCCAACTCCTATCTTCGTCAGTGCAGGAATACTTGTCAGTACAAGTATGATCAGACCGACGAAATAGACGAACGATGCGACAGTTAATGTTTTATATCTACCCCAAAATTGATCAGCAATAATAGCAGCAGCAATGGGTGATAGATTACATAGACATGAATATGACATTGTCACGGCTGTAGCCATCTTTCGACCATAGCCAAGTGCTCCTGCTTGTTTTTCCCCATTGGTTGGTATTGGAAATTGAATGTAATTTTGAAATACGATGTATGTACCGAAATAAACGAACTGTTCGCATAATTGACCGAAGATCAAAAGCCAAGTTGTGAACGGAAATCGATCCGAAACATGCTCAAGTGTCGCCAGTTCGCTCTGTGTCGGTTCAACTTCATCCTTACAAACTTTTGTATCATTTGTTTCAGTATCATTTGCTGCAGCAATACTCATGGTATTTTACACGTTATTCAATCGTTCAATTGTACCGTTAACCACTTTTTCTTCGTTCTTTTATACATCATCATCAGAGGGAGAACGAGAAAAAGAACATGACGTCATGATGCATAAAGAAAAGGAAGCCGTAGCTCATCATGGTGGGGAATACTCATTTAACATGACAATCTTTGCTATTCTTTTTCAACGAACACAAATCAAGGTCACTCAAAGGTGTGTTATCAATAAATATGTCATTTCGCGTAAAAAAAACATACGACACTTACAACCTTCAATGACATCACGTTTGTAGACAAGGAAACACGATAATATTTATTAATTGATTACAAAAACAAAAAATAGGGATGTTATCTATTGGCAAATTGAACAATAGCTATTCATTCATTGTAGTTAAATCATCTACTTCAATAATTTCTTTCAACAAATGTTTCCAACCCTAAAATATCACAAACTTAGATGTTGATTTTCCAAATCAAATTCACTACGTACAGTTTTCTCATGTAAACTTGCATAGATTGGATCTTGCATCAGAATTAAATGTACCGAATGAAATTCCCATTGAGGAACTTTCGGAAACAAATGATGAATCTATACACAAATCAACCCATTCGTTGTTATGCGAGAAGAAATCGCTGAACTTACCATATGGTAATGTTCGTTATGAACTCCAAAGAAGAAATTCCATAGCCATCCACAGATTCGATTACGTGTCATGTAAATATCGACTCGTGGTGCTGTTTCAATCTACACAAACAGATGATTTTCAAACTAAATACGGTTTCCAGGAGAGAAAAGGAATCGTTCTTACTAGTGGATAGTGTTCCAATAATTCAATAAATGATCCTATCCACATATGAGTTGTTAGATAAGGAATAAACCAAAATAGACATAAGTTCAGAAAATTTCCAGTATAAACAAANAAAATTTTAAAAAGCTAACATCAGATTCCTGTTCCTCGAGATTGAAAACCATGTAGTCAAATTTCATAGAAAAATTTTTTTTTGTAAAGACGGCTCTTTGTCTAAAAAATCATTTTTTACAGAAAATTTCGAGAAACTAACATCAGACTTGAATCCCTCGACCCAAAAAAACCCTTTGTTGAAATTTCATGAAAAAAAAATTTTTTTTCGTAAAAAAAACTGGCTCTTTGTCTTAAAAAAATTTTTTTTAATGAAAAATTTCAAAGAGATGACATCAGATTCGAGTTCCTCGACCCAAAAAACCCATTCGTCAGTCTTCACAAAAAAAAATTTTTTTCATGAAAAAATGGTCCTTTGTCTCAAAAAATTTTTTTTACAAAAAATTTCGAGAAACCAACATCAGATTTGAATTCCTGGACCCCAAAAACCCTTTGGTAAAATTTTATAAAAAATAATTTTTTTGTAAAAAAATGGTTCTTTGTCTAAAAATGTGTTTTTCATGAAAAATTTCACAAAAATAACATCAGATTCGAAGTCTCCACATCGAAATACATCTGGAAATGTCTTTTCGGAAAAATCGATTTTCAATGTTTTTTTGACCCTGCGGACGGACATACAAGCAAACAATTTATGTTTCTAAGACTCTTCTCTACGAGAAAGAGAACATGTTTAAATCTGGTCTATTTGATAGTAAACCGTATCACGATAACGTTAAGTAACATGAGATTAATTATATCAAAACGCATCTTTGACAAAAAGAAATGATACTGATGTGTAACCTTCCTTATTCTTCTGTTCTGATGTGAGCAAGTTTTTCGTCATTTGATTATTCGAGATAACAACTTAGTAGCTTTTCAGATGCTAAGTTATTAGAATAAGCCATGATCAGAGAGTTTCATGCCGACACAATAAATTGATAGATTGATTAATTGGAACTTTGTATAGGAAATTAGTGTGTGTCTCGAACGTTTAATACGTTGAGTTTTTCCAAGCATAATTTCTTCAAGAAAAAATTGAATATTCCGAGAATTTTTTAATCACCCTATGCATGTGAACAGTCGTCCTACTCCTCATGGTGGAACTGACTCCGTAGTGTGCAAAATTAGGGAGTGTAATACCGGGTGGTCCATAAGTCACGATACCGAAGAAAGAAAATATCTGTATACGTATACAGATATTTTCTTTCTTCGGTATCGTGACTTATGGATCATCCGGTATATCCTCACATACATATGTTGTTACCAATGAATTAATTTAAATGTATACAATAAACTTACTATAAGAAGCCCAAATTATTAAGGAGATAAATATATGACTGCACGAAAAATCCATAACAGACGTTTTGTTGGTAAAAGTAATAAATCAAACGGCGCAAATAAGAGCATATATATAGCTGAATAATTCGATCACTGTTTATCCACAACTTCCGTTCGTCTTTAGTAATCATAAAAGAAATTTCCAACAAAACACACTGTTTGATGACTCAGAAGTCAATGTGTGTTCTCTTTTCTGGGAAAAAACCTATTTAAACGGTTTTTACCAACATGTACTCGAATAATCTCTCGACTCTTTCTCTAAGGGTGTACTTCTTTTCTTAAAAAGAAAATGAAAACCCCACATATCGAAAGGGAGAAAACGAAGACCAACATACGAACGAAGACTAGTCATATGCCCATATGAGAAAAGAAAGGAAAGCGTCATACGTCTTAACATATGATCTATAGATATTTGATAAAGAGCGGTAAAAATCTTCTTATCAACACGTTATACTAATCAGAACCTACATGACTCTGTGACGCAGTAACGTCAATAAGATGTCTCTCTTCTATAAATGCCATTCTTGTTCTTTCTTTCTTGGAAATATCTTGAAGGAATATTTCGTGTATTTATATAGTCCTTATGGAATATTCTCACGATATACTTCCCCGTGACTCCATATATATAATTCAAGATTTGTCTATTTCATTGTTAATTTTCATTTATTTTCAAAATAAGAATTCCATTCACTACAAGACATGACATGCTCACTAAAGAGGATGAACGCATCTTGTTTCATAATCTAAGTGTAGATTTTATGTTGAGGAAAAGTCTAGACTGTACTAAAATTGATTACATTTCAAATCGAAGTCGTTTGAGAACAGATCTAATCTTTGATTCTATGTAATAGACATGGCAGAAAAAAAAAGTAAACGATTGAAAATCCAGGTGTGGTAGAGTTTTATTTTATGACATTCTTCTTCCGAGGAAAAATTTTGATTAATCGATTAATGCACACATTTAAAATTCGAAGAAAACCTTCTCAACAAGGCAATCACTGAAGCTTGATGTAAATCATATATTCTAAGTAAGTAAAGAAGAAATTAAATTACATGAAAATACAATATTATGATTTCGAGTTCAACGTTTCTTTTATCATTGTTGCCACTAATTCATCTAGTGATATACCAGAAGTTTTTGCCATGTACGGAATTCCACCTCCACCATCGAAAGAACAGTACAAACCAGCTTCTATGAACCAAGGCTCTCCACTTGGATCGATTCGAAAGTCGAATGCACTATAATGACGACAGCCTAAGGCGACATGACACTTCTTTGCCACGTCTTGAACCTTTTGGGTGACGAGATCGTTAGAATCGACAATCCAGTATCGCGCACCGTAGTCTTTTGGCCAACCAAGAAATTTCCCATTAGCATCTAACTCCGGAAACTTTTCAACATGAGTTCGTACTGGTCGCTCATGCGGGTCGATTGAATATTCTTCAATAGGCAGAGAGATGAGCTGACCGTCTTTAACGATGATACCGCAACGCACTTCTCTACCGGGTGGAATAAACGTTTCGACAATAACCTTGTCGGCCTGTTCAAATGCTTTTTTCAAAGCTGTATCATAGTCACTAGCATCTTTGACAAGAGTCATTCCTAGAGAATTATCGCAACAAGTCGGTTTCACAATTGCTGGAGGTGGAATAGTCGGTACATCTCCGTGACGTAATATCTCACCGAAAGGTACTTTGACTCCAGCCGCAGCAACGATTGCTTTCGTTTTATCTTTATGAACTGCGATTGCCATGACTTCGGCCGTATTGCCCATATAAGGAATCTTTAACATATCAAATAATGCACGATACTGAGTCATTCCAGGAATGCAATACATGTGTGGCATAACCAGATCAATTTTCTGCGTCGTTATAAACTGTATAGCTTCAGCTAGCGACATCGGCTTGGCGGCGTCAAAATCTTTTTCGTTCAGTGTTGCAGGAAATCGCCATTGACCATCAACCGTTACCACTGCAATCACAAAATTGTGCAACAATGGCACATATGGTGCCATATTCAAATTACATTGAGCATTTCGGTATGACAATCCATAATAAAAATCGTCGGATGGCGAGCCAGTTACATGAAGGATGCGATATGTTGTCATGTCGTATTTTCCCCTAGACAGTGTCGTTGTTCTTATTGATTATACAGCATATAGAAAAATTCTCTTTTACTATGTTATTACACGGACTTGATCTTGGTTTGGTGCACTCTTCGAGAAGAGGTAGGTGACAGAGTAAAACAGAATACGCTGTTCTTTTCACGATGATATTTATAACGAGAAGAAACGAAGAAAAATATAGTTTTTTTTTATTTTTGTGCAGTAGCGACAATCGAAAAAAAGATCTCAACAGTGTATAAAGGAAAGGAAGAGAAAAATAACGCGCGTGATAGAAAAATCGTATCATCAGATGCCAAAACCAAATAGAAAGAATAAATAACTGAACGATAGGAGATAAAAACTAGAGATGTCGAAATAAAAGATGCAAGAAACTGTTTCAGAAATTGGTTTCGATTTCAGTGATGAAAAAGGGAACAATTATCCATCGACACAAGTTTTGTTATTTTAAACGGTTTTATGCTCTTATTCATATTGATGTTTAGCTATGATCAAAACAGTTCACTCTTCAAAATGAACAGTACTTGCTCACATGTAATAATGTTTACTATTTTGTTAAATTAATTACGATAATAAATTTCTTTTTTTATTAACGACGCAATAAGTTTTTTTTTCTTTTCCTTTTCTTTATGGGCGAGAGTGAAGTAAGGACGTTCTTCTCTCCACGTGTTTAGTATATTGTTGTCGTAGTTTTTACCTTTCAAGCACAGTGTAATAGATAAAAATGTAGGTTTCTTCATCCGTGAAATTTTCTGTTCTTATTTATTATGCGTTGCTTTTGCTCGAAAATTGTCCTTGCTTAGGATATATTACTGTGATTTTCTCATGAGACAGATATGTATTTCTAATCTCGTTTATTTTTTTAGCTTTATCACAGTTCAACTATTGTTACACGATAATAAACGTCATTCTTTGATAGTTTGACAACTCTTTAAATGGGCAAGATGAGATTCATTGGTCTCCTATGCCGTATGTGATATACATTCATGATGTTTATTATGAAAAGAGTGATTACTCGTTTTTCAGTTTGTGGTTCGATCATGGTGATCACTGACGGATTGATGATTTTACCTCAGCTGGATGACGAGTCTCTTAACGATAAGGAACGCATGATATGTAATGTCATTGTTCGAGCTGTACATGATCTGCATGTTTATCAAAAGAAGTCCGTGCAGGAGATTAATGTGTATTTGGATGCTGACTGTAAAAAACTTGTAGATGAAGATCTCGTCGATCAGGTCAGTTCGCTGACACATGTTTTCCTGGATGATGTTTCAATCACTGTGAATTTTAGTGTCATGAAATGGTAACTGAAAATGGCGCACAGATCTACGAATATGTGAAGAATGGCATCGTAAGTTTAAGAGGAATTGTGACGATGATATTGTTCCAACCATCGTCTGTAACAGGAAATGTCTCAAATCTGCCAAAAAATCAGCGATTTCAATGAAATAGATCTTCCATACAGTGACGACGACGAGAACAACTATGATGGTAAAACTCAAGTAAGATGACTTTTCGTTGAATTTTTATATCGTACACACTTCTGTTTGAAGTGTTCACGTCAAGGTAAAGACAAATGTCAATGCTGTAAAATCCATGTTTTCAAGCGGAAAATGCGCCTCCGTCAAATTGTCAAACAGATCGCTCGAAAGCATCTTCGCATGTGTAGAAAATCTCGTCGAGCACTCCGCTGCCGTTTTTGGGTCCGAGAACGGGAACGCCATTTCCTGAAGAAAATTGAAAAGATTTGTCCGTGTACTATTTGTACGCATCTTGGCTATTGCAAGAAAAGAACCGAGGGTAATAATCTCTCAAATGTCGATCTTTTCGCTAATCAATCATCGCTATTGCTGGAAATGTTACTTGACCAACAATTGGACATATTTTTTAGCAAGAATATTTGTAGTAACTTCGAATTATTGCAGACAAGTTGTGTTCAGATTGCCGCATCGGTTGATAGCCGTCATTATGGCAAAGTTCACATGGCAATGCTTCGAGATGATATAACATGGATTGAAAAAGATCTTCAAAAGACCATACAATCGATCAACGCCGATACCAACACCAAGCCATGCAGTACATGTAAAGATACCGTTCAATTATCCACCAACTTCTATACCAAGAATTTAGTAAGTGTCATTTCATTTTCAGAAAAACAGACTTCACATAGAAATTGTTTTAGGGATTGGTGCGTGATACGTTGATGAACATTTGTGGACAATGGTCATCGAAAGAAGATTGTCAAGACGTTCTGGACAAACAATTTGATGATGTTAAGAATTATTTGCATACATTGAAAGCAGATAAAATCTGTGCAGTTAAACACCATTGTACGATGAATGTCAATGATAAATGTGCTGCGTGTGTTCAACGGTTTCAACCTCGCAAAGATACAGCTAAGAAATTAGTCGATCATTTTGCATCGTATCTGCCCACTCTGTGCACAAAAGCAGCCGCTTCGCAATGTTTACAATTTGTCTCGGAAGTCACAGCTGAACTTCGTTCATTCATCGACGATTTCGATGTTCAGAACGCTTGTCTAGCAATGGGCTTTTGCGATGGGAATACTGCTCAAGATTTAGATACTTATGAACGTGCATACGTAGAAGTCATGAAGAACGATGTGTGTTCAATGTTGGAACCTTACGAAAAACTTTGCGAAAAAGTTATTCAAGGTGACAATCTTGACACCGAAGAAATTAGTTTTATCGCCAAAAGCATGGAAGAATTCTCTTTACGTTGTGAATCTTCCCCGGATGAAATTGTTTCGAGCGTGGTGGATGCTTCCGAGGGAAAAGACAAATGTCAATGTTGCATCAATCACGTCATTCAGAAGAAGAAGATTATTAAAGAACGCATTGCCAAATATGTCGAACATATGAAAGAACTATGCAAACGTTGTCCAGCACGGGAAAAATGCGAACGTCATTGGGACGAAAAGAAGGCTCGGTGGGATGGTAAAATAGATAAGATCTGCCCTAAAAGAGCCTGTATTCATATGGGTTATTGTACTAATACACATCCATTCGGACAGTCATTACCATTTCGCATTGGTACTACCATTCTTCAACCTGAAACTGAAAAGAAAAAAACAATGGTTTGAAGAGCCATGGCGGACCAAATCATAAACTCAATTCAAAATAAAATATACTCAATTTAACCAAGATTGCTTTTATCATATTCTTTATCTACTTAATCTCATTTTTCTCGCATTCATTCATTCATTGTAGACATGCTTTGTAGTTACTACGACATTTTCAAATCGATTCAGAAAAATTTTCTTTGTTCTCATAAGTGATCCTTTGTCTTCATTTCACTATATTCGAACTTAACTAAATAAATATTATATGAAATGGCAATAGTTCGTTTTTGCTTTTCTTAATCCTTCAATATTTCGCAATTTCTTCTGCGGTGGTATATATACTTGAGAGTGAGTGTGTGTTGTTGCGAAATTTTGTAAGAGTAAGAGACATCGCGATATGAAGATTATTTCTCTTGTCCCATTGGTACTCGTATTTCAATGCACAACAATCAGTGCTCAGACGACTGGATCCATCTCAGCAACAAGTGAGCCTTACGTCGAAAATCCTCCTCCAAATCCTCCTGTGTATCCTCCAAGATGGACAGCAACTGCACATTTTCAATTTATAAACATGACGAGCAAGAAACCTGCAGGTTCTGGCATCTTATATCAAATTATTGATTCACCCAATCAAAAATTTCGAGCTGATGATCTCTATTTTGCCGGAACATTTCCTTCTCCATACGACACAGTTTTTACTTCATCGGAGCCATCTAACACGTATCAGTACTATGCAAATGTCACCTCGGATGGAGTATTCTGTATTACATATCCAGGCAAGCCAACAACACTGTCACAAAATTGGGTAAAAGATTTCTGCTTGTACAATTTGACACTCTATTATGGAACAACAAAAGCCTATCGATGGAACTGTGCTACTGATGTTGTGTTTTGGTTTATTGATACGGCAGCTGATGATGGACGCCTGATTTATCAGCATACTTTACCACAGCCGTTCTTTGATGTCTATCAATACCTATGGTTCACAAATTATACTGTGGTCGCTGAAGAATTTGATCCAGCCATCTTCGTTCCACCAAAAGGATGGAATTGTGAACGTCGGCAAACCAGTGGAGTCGTAAAATATACTTTTTGTGCAACACTGCTATTTATTTCTGTGCTGTTTTTCGTTCTTGAAAATATGGACGGTTGATCCTGATTACTAAAAAAGGCACTATGCGTTTTCACACGAACAGTCTTCATTTTGTGCATGCTTGAAAGCTATAAGACCAATGAACTTGACGCTCCCGCAATAGATTTTTGCCGAATGTTCACATTTCTCATCGCATCCGAACAAAAATGCTTAGTGCATACTGCATGAATAAAACTATAAAAAGAGCAAAATCTCCAGTAAAGTGTCCGTTGATACAAACATCAACAACGCTCTTTTATTTTATGAAAACACGAGATAAAGGGAAAAAAATATGTTATTCATATGACATCTGGTGACTGAATACATACAAGTAATTGAGACCATATTTTTCTTGCACATATTTTCCATTGAGTGATGTCATAATATCATTACCCCGGGTATCCGTTTAAAAATCGACAACAGTATACTCAGAATCCGGAGGAATTTGATCGAATTTGGTCGATACCCGGCGGGTAACGAGATGGATACCCATGGCTGTATCCGTAGAAGCTGAGGAATTTGATCGAATTTGGTCGATACCCGGCGGGTAACGAGATAGCAACTCGTGACGGTATCACTGGCAGCACGGGAAATGACAATCTAGAACGAAATGTAATTCGGTACTTTAAGCCTTAGTTGCCGAACTAGAGTGAATAAAAGAACGAACCACTCGTCGCTGAACCACTTGTTGAAGTGGAAATTGGAAGAGGCTTTCGTGCACACACCAACCTTCTTCCCAACACTCGCATGTTGTGATGCGCCCACTGACGACACCCTCACCCTCGTCCACACCCTCCCCTACACCCTCATGTTGTGATGCGCCTACTGACGACGCCCTCACCCTCCCCTACACCCTCATGTTGTGATGCGCCTCCTGACGACACCCTCACCCTCACCCACACCCACACCCTCACACCCACACCCTCTGGGGTGACACAGTTTGGTTATCGGGTATCGAGATTGTCCGACCAAATTCACTCAAATTCCTCACGTTCCGGAAGATACAGTTTGGTTATCGGGTATTGGGTATCGGGTATCGGGTAATGGGTAACGAGATCGGCTGACGAAGTTAGTTTAGTTATCCTACTGGGTATCGAGACGTTCAGCTCTGGATACCCAGGGTAATGATATTGTGACAGCTATGTTTCCATTAACAAAATATTCATGTATATTTGTTTTTAATTCATCGGAGGCTGTCAGTAATCGTTATTTAGACATTTGTTCATACTTTTTCTGTTAATTGATATAACTAATTCCTTGATAAATCACGCACGAGAAGCGGTATGAGTATATCAGCCAATTGGTCTTTTCTCCATCTTCATGCTACCTACGTAGCGTTTCTTAGAGGTCGTTATAGCCCAATATACTCATTAGTTTTTTGGAAACTGTCTAACGTACATTTATCACCGTGGTTTGCATTTGTATTCCTTTTTGAATTTCTATCAATTCCAGAATTCTTCGACGGAGTTGACTTCACCATTGCATATCTCTTGGAAACAGTGTTATATGACAAGTTTATCAAAGATTTGATCAAAAATGAACATGTATGAAGTTGATTAGGAATACAAAACAAGAAAATGTCGAATAAATGCTCGAAATAGTTTGCATGAACTGGATCGACGTAGCAGTTGATGGTGTTGGTTCGAGATCGGAGAGTTCGGGTATATTCTCCATCATCCAAGAAAGATAGGCGCTTACACGTAAAAATACAGTAGGTGATCGCGGTAAACCACAGCCCCATGCATACGATGTGATACCAATGAGATACCAACGGCTATCCGATGGATCTTGTATCATCAATGGCCCACCCGAATCGCTCTAATTTTCAGAAAAACAATCAAATATTCATTATGATCTGAAGCTGACACTTACTCCACACGTTCCATAACCACCTTCGAGACGTCCAGCACAAAGTTGCAATGATGTATCCATAATTAACGGCCCTTGATCAGTCTTGGTACACTCCGGTGACGAATTATTTAACAATTTCAGAGTGACTTCTTGTAAAGTGAGAGATAAACTAGTGGCATTCGAGCTCGTCATACCCCAACCCAACGTTGTTGTGTTCATTTCATCGTTGATATTCAGATTTTCTGGAAGAAAAGGGAGACAGATGGTTTCAAATAGCTCTTCTGTATCACGTTCCAACTCAAGAACAGCGAAGTCATAAATGGTCTGAGAAAAGTCGACTGTTGATGTATAGTTTGGATGACGATATATTTGTTTGACAGGAGAAACAAAATGATCTGTATCATTCAAATAATGAAGACCAATATGTACCTGATATTGCCAGGGGAGAAATAGATAAGTACAATGTCCAGCTGTCAGAACAAATCTTCGATGAATTAGTGATCCTCCGCAGAGATGTTGAGGAACACCTTGTGCTCGCAAAGATATCATCCATGGCCAACTACCAATGGACGACTCAACACCGCCGGCTATTCTGAACTTTGGTTGCATACCACAATTAGACGCATTGATGAATGAAACAAACGTAGATAGTACGATCCAAAGAATTAGAATAAAACTTCTCATAAAAATGCTTTTTTTTGTTGTGTGCAATAGTATAGAACATGTGATGAAGAAAAATTTGCATGTATATACGTATATATAAGTGTCAATATTGATTTGCTGTTCTTATCATCGACGTTAGTCATTTTCTCCGAGTGTTCTTTTTTTGTTCGTTCTACAATCACTCCATATGCTATATAGAATGAAAGAATTTCCTGTTGCACATAAACTACTACATAAATCAGAACGTCCGATTGAAACGAGGTTGTTTTCCGAAAAGAAACTTGTGCACATCTAGTTATCATATTTTTGCTCTACTAAAAATAAACTCAATTTGTTTCGTCATTAATTCATAAACAGATATGTACATTCTCTGAAGTGCTTTCTTTCCAAGAACAATGAAACTTTGATAAAATCTTTCATCGAAAGGCGTATTTTTTCGTCACTTCATCTGCTCCTTTCGCCGAATGAAAGATAAAAGATAACGAAATGATGTAGATCAACAAATATTTGTTGTTCTTCTTTCAAGTAAATCATCTGTTGACTTCGGCTAAGCTTGTCGAAGAGGAAGTAAAACAGTACGATGATCTCCAAATGATAGAAGTGCCACAGCACACAGCCAGCAACGTCCTCGACGCTATAGTAGTGTGGTAAAGATGCGGATTTTTAGACTACTGTAGAACGAGAAGAAACTCTTCAAAATATATCATATAGTCAATGAGAATTCTTTGAGCAGTACGGCGCAAAACGGAAAATTGTTCTATGATAAACAACAGAAGATGATGGCTTAACCAATCAATCCAGCAGGTCGACTCACTCGACGAAACTCTTGCAATCCGAATTCATACACATATTCTCCGACCACACTTGAATGTTACGGTGTATGTGTATGAGTCAAAAATGTTAATGGATGTCAGATTCAGGCTATTATTACGTTACATGTTCGATGAATGGACAAATTTGGACGAGCCTGCATGCAGTATGTTCTTCATTCATAAGCTCAATATAAACTGTGTTGTAATGATCTAGGATCACCTTGTTTACCATGAACAAATGGTGGATTTTGACAACGCTGTGGTTGCATGATAATCTGATTTTATTTGGTAGTCTGCTGGTTCTTGTGATTATAAAGAGAAATCGAGATCTTTATGCAAGAAAATAATCAGATGTAGCTCTCACTTTTGAATGGAATATATTGAAAAAGCTTGAGGGTAAATTCAGTCGTACGTTTTCTTTGCTCCCTAATCACCAGTAAGAACATCTTAATAACCATCGTCATTAACAACAATAACATTTTCCCGAGTATATTTGAATCATTGCGAAAGCAGTTGACTGAAAGTCCATTTAGACCATAACTACTGTAAATTTCTTGGATATAACAAGAGAAAAAGTGTGTATATGAATATTCGTTTTAATTGTAAATTCTGTATGAAGAAGAACTTCAATGAAAGTGATATTTTACTGAATATTTCCTCTTCGAACAAAAGAAGCCTGTCAGGCAATAATATCAGAAAATTTTGTCCGTAAAAAAGTCTCAACCATGGAAATAAAAGTCATTCTGTGATGAGTAGCGAAGAAAAAACTTCAGCCAGTAAATACCATGTAGTCAAATCACATTGCTTTGTAAGCAGCGATCAGAATTATCGTAATAACAAAGCCACAAATGAATATGCTGAACGCTGTTAGTAAACTAGACCAAATAAGATAATCTAATGGTTGTGGGGGTTTTTGTGTTGCAACTGGTACTGGTGAATCGTCGGATTGTGATAAAGAATTGACATGTCTTCTTGTGGGAATTTCAGATGCAACTGCTGTTTGCTCGTAGTCAGAACCCATTTTTTTTCAAACAATGTTATACGGTTGCACGCTACGCGGAGAGGAGAGAAAAAAATAATGAAACATGTGCGATGTGACTATACTCAATCATGCATTGAAACACACACATATGTTCGAAAGAGAAAGGAATGATGCATATATTTTATTTATACTTTTGTATTACATTCGATTTGAAAGAAAGATATAAACTACGGATAAAAAGATTTCCTTTGATGCTGACCACCATTCAGTTAAGTAATCCATCGCTCTTAGATTTCGTTTTGGATCTGTTTACAAAGTGCTTTAGTTTGGTTCGGTGGTACTTTATCAAGCTGATTAGCAACAATATCATAACGACTTTTCTATTGGTTATGAAGCTGAAAATGCATTCATCAACTACGTCAACGAGTTTTCATATTCAATTCCTAATTTTTGTTCGACTATTAATCTTTATGCTACGCATATATTCAGAGTGGTTCTCAATCACCTTATATCAAATTGTATGAAATCAACAAATGATGTCTGGTTACCATTGATGGGCTATTTCATCTCATTTATCCCTCCGATGTTTACATTGATCCTGTTCATTGTTCCATCGGAACATTATAGAAAACAATTTACCAAATCCGTGAAGACAATACGAAATACGGTTGCATCCAAAATACTACTCAAGCAAAATTGAATGCTTAATTAAAACGAAAACAAACTTTTTCTCTTATTACACACGTATATTTAAACTTGAAAGTTAGAAGCAAAAAATCATTTGAAATAGTGATGTCCGAAGTACGAGATGAATATTTGGTAATAATTTGAGAGAGAAGAAACGATAGAAACAATCTTTTTCTAATACTAATACCAACTTATGATTATCGAAATATATATTGATTAGATAATATCTATTTTTTACAAGAAAAATCTTTATATCATGTTGCAACATTTAGCGTTGATTCTGCATGTATTGGTGCGCCTTTCAATAACATCTGCTTGTCATCATTTCGAAGACACAGGTAAAAGATGATTCCAATGATAAACGTACCAATAGCCAATGAGACATACATCCAAATAATGATTGGATCAGTATTCACTGGTACGAGTGAAACATTCAGTAAACTTCCAACCGCTCTTGCACAAACGAACAGTGCCATGACGATTGATTTCATCGAAGTTGGCGCTTTCACATAAGCATATTCAATGCCACTGATAACTGCAAATATCTCGCCAATGCCGATAAGAAATCGAGCAGGAATTTGCCACGCAACAGTTATATTATTAAATTTCTGGCAAGTTGAACATGGTTGAACCGTATAATCAAAATTCGNCAATCCAAGTATGATCAGACCGAAGAAATAGATGAACGAGGCGACAGTTAATGTTTTATATCTACCCCAAAATTGATCAGCAATAATAGCAGCAGCAATGGGTGATAGATTACATAGACATGAATATGACATCGTCACGGCTGTAGCCATCTTTCGACCATAGCCAAGTGCTCCTGCTTGTTTTTCCCCATTGGTTGGTATTGGAAATTGAATGTAATTTTGAAATACAATGTATGTACCGAAATAAACGAATTGTTCGCATAATTGACCGAAGATCAAAAGCCAAGTTGTGAACGGAAATCGATCCGAAACATGCTCAAGTGTCGCCAGTTCGCTCTGTGTCGGTTCAACTTCATTCTTACAAACCTTTGTATCATTTGTTTCAGTATCATTTGCTGCAGCAATACTCATGGTATTTTACACGTTATTCAATCGTTCAATTGTACCGTTAGCCACTTTTTCTTCGTTCTTTTATACATCATCAGAGGGAGAACGAGAGAAAGAACATGACGTCATGATACATAAAGAAAAGGAAGCCGTATCTCATCATGGTGGGGAATACTCATTTAACATGACAATCTTTGTTATTCTTTTTCAACGAACACAAATCAAGGTCACTCAAAGGTGTGTTACCAGTAAATACGTCATTTCGCGTAAAAAAAAACATACGGTCCTTACAACCTTCAATGACATCACGTTTGTAGACAAGGAAACACGATAATATTTATTAATTGATTACAAAAAACAAACAATAGGGATGTCGTCTATTGACAAATTGAACGATGATCAAACACAATAGCTATTCATTCATTGTAGTTAAACCATCTACTTCAATAATTTCTTTCAACAAATGTTTCCAACCCTAAAATATCACAAACTTAGATGTTGATTTTTCAAATCAAATTCATTACGTACAGTTTTCTCATGTAAACTTGCATAGATTGGATCTTGCATCAAAATTAAATGTACAGAATGAAATTCCCATTGAGGAACTTTCGGAAACAAATGATGAATCTATACACAAATCAACCCATTCGTTGTTATGCGAGAAGAAATCGCTGATCTTACCATATGGTAATGTTCGTTATGAACTCCAAAGAAGAAATTCCATAGCCATCCACAGATTCGATTACGCGTCATGTAAATATCGACTCGTGGTGCTGTTTCAACCTACAGAAACAGATGATTTTCAAACTAAATACGATTTCAAGGAGAAAAAGGAATTGTTCTTACTAGTGGATAATGTTCCAATAATTCAATAAATGATCCTATCCACATATGAGTTGTTAGATAAGGAATAAACCAAAATAGACATAAGTTCAGAAAATTTCCAGTATAAACAAAGATCACGAGCCATCCAGTTAGATAAATACTCCGAACACATGTTTCGTATTTATCTTCCTCCTAAAACGATTCATTGTTTATATAGATTAAATCTTCCATGGTAACTATCATGGACTGACTTGACTGTATATTCGATGTTGTATCAAATACACCAGATAATTCCACGATGATTTCGGCGAGAAAAGATTTCTCAAATACTTCTGAATATTTCTCTTTGTTCGTTGTTCACCACAAATTCCACTTTCTTTCAAACTCATCTAAACATATCACACAAGCAAATCTTTCTTGTCGCCCGTAATAGTCTTCCCTTACATAATCTGGATCCTTGTGCGTACCCAAATATGGATGATGATTTCTCACATGTGACACTTGATAGCCATGAAAACTTTGAAAGATCAAATAGCCCGAAGTAAATGTTCCGAGAACGAAATTAATGTATTGGTTCGATGCGAAACAATAGTGTGTGGCTAAATGCAGACAATCTGCGAGGCCACGCTGTCGAGCACCAATAATGCAGATCGCGATGAAATAAGCCATCAATGGCAACAGGAAATATGTGTGATGATGAGCATAAACATATTTGGAAGTATAGATCGAAAGAAAGATGATGGACCAATCTTCAATTAACGAGAGGAGACCATGAGTATTGTTTGTCTTCTGCGATATCGTGTGTTTAAATACTTGGGCACGGATCGCTTCATTGAAACGGTATCGTTTGAATGTTTTCACCTTCTCCATGTGTGTATTCGTGATATAAGTAGACGAGTATACGCTGTTCATCTTTCATTTTGCATTCATATTTATATACTTTTAGAAGCCCATCTACAGCATCTGACGTCATTTTTGTTATTGACCCTCTTCTTATGAACAACAAGTATGACGCATGTGTAATTATGTGAGATGGTGGGAAAATCACACCCACCCATCGGTGCACTGTCAAGGTACGTGTATTATGGGTGGGATGATAGCTCAGAACGCAAAGTTCCCTCGACCGTGAATTTGATCGATGATTTCTGCTCAAGGTGGTGAAGATTGTCAAAGATCTGTGCAATGCCTGCACGTTGGTTGAGACACTGAGAAGACGAAGATCATCATATTCCTTTTCATTTCTTTATTTTCAAATATGTTTACATGAAAACAGATGTGTGAATCAAGTCCTGTAATATCCGACAAAAAGTGTCAATTTCTTCTTCGGTATTGAAATAATGGATCGAGGCTCGAATCATATGATTTAGATTTCTTGCAGTCATGTCGATCAGGGTATGATGACGCACTGCTACCGAAGTATTGATCTTTCTTTCGCGAAGTTGTTTGCATAGTTTCACCATATCCATTCCATCAATCTCGACAGTAAAGGTAACGATTCCACACTTGATCTGTCCCAGATCTTGTACTAGAACACAATCGATCATCGACAGTTTCTTGCGAAATAGTTCTCCTAGCTGTTGAATTCGTTGCCAGATATGTTCTATGCCAAGATCTAATGTATTCTGAACAGCATAAGTTAAACCTAATTTTGCAGCAATGTTACATTCGGAGATTTCAAACATTCGTGCATCTTTTCGGAACTCATATTCATTTTGACTTTTCCATTCAGCCGAATGTAAATCGAGGCAAAATGGTTCTAAGAATTTCAGCATCTTTTCGCTCATGAACAAAAATCCAGTACCGCGTGGACCACGTAGAAACTTCCGTCCACTAGCTGAAAGCATATCACAACCGATTTGTTGAACATCGATCGGCACTTGCCCGATCGACTGGCATGCATCGATCAAATACCAAACGTTGTACTTTCGAGCGATCGTTCCAATGGCCTCGACTGGATTGACCAATCCTCCATTCGTCGGTATATGGCTAACAGATATGAGTTTCACATTTTCATCAATCATCTTCTCTAACGCTTCGACACAAATCTGTCCGTTTCGATCATTTGGAATAACTTCGATGCTAACACCGATTCGTTTCATCATTTGTAAATAAGCGATGTAATTGCTTGCATATTCAGTGATTGATGTCAGAATCTTGTCACCTTTGCGGAAAGGAAGCGCATAGAACGCTCGATCCCAAGCAGTTGTTGCACTGTCCGTGATGGCAATTTCTTTGGATTTACAATTGATCAATTGAGCAAGTAGTTGGTAGACTTTGTCATAGTCACATGCATATTTATCTTCCATTTCATAGCCACCAAACTTGCTTTCATCAGCAAGATATGTCTGCATAATATGACAAACACTTGCCGGCATTAATGAAGCTCCGGCATTGTTGAAATGAATTACATGTTCAGTACCTGGTGTTTCAGCGCGAATCCGAGCGATATCAAGCATTTCTATTCCGATCTGAATGAATCAAATTTCATCGATGCAGCGAACAAGTTTTTTTTTCTTTCCCACCCATGACGTCAGACGAGAGGACGAAACGGATTTCACCTTGAATGACATCATGTTTCTCTCTTCTCCCTCGATATATAAACAGATGCATCAATGAACGTTGTTCCAATATATTACAATGATTCGAAATAGTCTTTTACTTCGCAAAAATGTCAAAACCATCTACAATGTCTTGTTATCCTCAGCATTGAACACAAATTCTTGTAAATTAAATTCCAACTTCGATTGTGTCTCAACTGCATACGGATACAAAAATAAATGGGAATTATTTCGCGGGTGGATGCTCTATAAAATGTTCTCGTACAACATCTTCGTTGATCATCTTCCACAAGTCATAGTCACGCTTTCGTATGCAAAGAAGTAATCTTGATTTTTCTCTCCTTTAGTTGATCGCATTGAGTAATCAAATGTTGAACAGAACTTTGTTTCAATCAATCATGAATATGACCTTGTATGGACATTTTATTGGTGGTGAGAACAGAAATCAGTTACAACTACAAGTGGAAAAGTTGAGAAAACATCGTGTAAAGGTGATCTTAGATCATTATATGGAGTCAGATCTGAATGGTGTTTGCAAAGAGACGATCAATTCGTTACCATCGGGAGAAGCATCATTTTCGAAAATTTATCATCCCGATGAAGTTGCATTCGATAAAAACATGTTGAAATATCTAAAAAATATTCAAACAACCCATCTTTTATGTGGATCAAAGAGTTTCACTGCAATCAAATTAACACCACTGATCCGACCAAGTTTATTGGAGAAACTGAATGTGTTTTGTTGTTTACACATAGAAAAAAGGCAATTCGATGACCTACTGCAGCTGATACTGCATGATCATGTAAATTTTCATGTTGATTTCAATATTTCTCCAACCTCTGCTTGTTTTAGAATTTCACTTCAAACGAGATTGGTGAAATTAATAATTTAATCTTACGATTAAACGAAATCGTAAAAGTAAGCTTTCTCCGGATGAAAACAAAGATTTACTTCTCTAATTTCAGTCAACGAAAGCGAACGATATGCGGATATTTATCGATGCTGAACAATCGTATTTTCAGACCGCGATTAACAAGATTGTTATTCATTTACAAAGTATTTTCAATAGAGAAAATTTGTTCGTCTACAACACATATCAATGCTATCGAAGGGTAAAAGTATCAAATTCATCGTTCTTTACTAATCCTAGGTCATATTTAGGATACAGTGGATGTTTTAGCTGCAGATTTAGAACAATCGGAAAGAGAAAAATTTCATATTGGCTTTAAACTTGTTCGTGGTGGATATATGGTTCAAGTAAATGAAGATTTGACAAGAAAATTGCTTTGATCGAATAGCTTTTTAGGAACGAAAACGAGCGCTCGAAATGGATTATGAAGATCCAATTCACGACGATTTCGATCAGACGAGTGAATGTTATCGAAAAGCTTTTCTAAAAGGAATCGACTTTGCATTACGAACGAATCAAATAACTCGAATATTTGTGGCAAGTCATAATGAAGATACAGTTCGATTTGCTATAGAAACGTAAGTTTCAAAGATTTTCAATATTTAATCAAATGACTATTGTAGAATGAAAGAGTTCAATATCAAATCAGATGATGAAATTGTTTCGTTCGCGACGTTATTTGGGATGTGTGATTACATAACGTTTACGCTAGGTAAAAGAATTTCTAATTGATTCCTCCAAGAGTGACATTGGGAGTTTTTAGCTGCAGCCAATTTCAATTCTTATAAACTAATGCCGTATGGACCGTTGGAATCGTTTCTACCGTATTTAGCTCGACGTGCACAAGATAATCGAGCAATATTTAAAAAAGCTGAGAAAGATCGATTACTTATGTACAAAGCATTGAGAGATCGTCTGTTCAAAACTCAGCAGTGGTGTTAGAATTTTGTTCTGTTAATTGATTCATCATTAATAAAAATTAAAATAATATGTAAAGTTTTGGCCGTGTAATATCTTTTTGAAGCGGATGAGAGATACCAAAACAAATAGTGTTATTCACTTGTAATTTTTATAAGAAGTAGAAAGAGGATCGAACGCGTGCGACGTGACTATTCGATCATGCATTGAATCATACGCATGTTCGAAAGAGAAAGAGATGGTCTATGCATTTTATTTACACTAGTATCATATTTATTTCGAAACAAAATCATGGATTGATATACTACATGTATCTTATTTTCATTAACAAGACAGATAATGACAAAAAAGAATAAACAAGATAAGTGTAAGGGTACTATAGTGCAAATTTTCAAACGGTCACCTTGTACAAGTACATATTTTTTTCGTAGAAAGAACGAAAGTAAACCCATGCAAATGAGAAAATATTTAATTTTCAATGCTCTAACTTTAACAATAGAAAAACGCATTATAACCAATGAAGCAACTAAACCAAATAATACAGATGAATCCATTCTCACAGTGTATCATAATTATAACTTTCAAATGTGATCGTTCGTTAAATAGAAGCCCATCTTTTCTAGGAGTATTGAATAACGGTATGTCAATGAATGAAAAGAATGAAACATGTGCAATATAATTGTAATCAGTCATGTGTTACAACGTATATTTTATCAGATACGGGTTGTTCTGTTCTCTCTTTCTACTGAATATTAACAAACAATAACAACAACATGTAAATCTTTGGATATATTTATATTTAGCTATGGGCGTAATAACTGAAATGAAATGAATAATCATTGGATCGTTCTTTTTACTTTCTTTTCTTTCATTCGATTTCTGATATTTACGTCAGTTGTCAAGTAAAAAGAATCAAGTGTAAGAGGAAGAATGTTGACAAACTTTTTCGCTTTTATTAATATTATATATATATATATATCTAACTAAGAGGCTACTGATCAAAACAAAATTTTCTTCACTAGTAACTTCTCGTTGGGTTCGTGATAATGTCGAAAACAGTAAATGAGAAAGATGTTCCTGCCGAAGTTTCACATACTAATCTTCTCGATTATCCTCATTCAATCATATGGCGAATATTACATGGAACTTCTTTCTTATTTGGTGGTCTTCTCTTTATCTGTGGCTCTTGCATGTATTTCACCGATGTTATCGCAAACAATGACCGTGCGTTGGAAGCCGGCGGATGGCTCTACACAGTTGGCTCCGCTTGTTTTCTTCTTGCTGATATACAAGATTGGCTTTACTATCATATCGGTTTTCTATTCTCTTCCAGCAAAGTTAACGATTCTCAATCGAAACCAATGTTTCGTAATCGATTGAGGCGCGTGGCCATCAATGTCAACTATTTTACTTCAAACGTTGGCTCTGCGCTTTACTTAGTAGGATCGGTGTTCTTTTTACCAAAATTTGCGGATTCGATCCTCGTCGGCGATGGGCTATTCATTGCCGGTTCAGCAGTTATCTATCTCTCAGAAGGATGGAAAATTGTCCGATTAGCTCGTACAAGTGCCGAGAATGCCAATGATACGTCGTTTCGCTTTCAAAACATCAAGACCAATATTCAAGCCATTTTTATCTCCTTTTTTGCTGGCCTCGGTGGATTTTTCTATTTTGTTGGCACCATTCTCTTTTTACCGCAATACACCACCACTGACTTTGGCGAAAACCGAGCTGCAGGACTATTTTTATGCGGTGGAATCTTTTTCACTCTTGCTGGCTTGTTATTACAATACTGCTATTACTGTAAAAGTCGCAAATGAATCTGATTCATTAAAAATATATCAGCCTATACTTAAGCTATGAAAAAAGTAACAAGTTATGTCAATAAAAAATATTCTCTCTCAAAAATCGATTCCTTGCTCAGCCTTACATAATATCCAGCTCGACCATTCACTGCATCTTTTCCACCATGCGGCGAAATTTGCCTTCGACAGTAAGAGGTCACGATGTGCAGCTCGGATGAGATTTTCCGTATATGGGAAGTAACTTATATCAGCTATTGTAAATTGATTTCCAGCAAAATATTCATTAGTTGCTAAATGTTGATCGACGATCGTCAAAATACTTTCTAGCTTCTTCTTTTTCTCTTCAACTAGCTTCCCGTCGACTTCACCCAAGTGTTTCCCAGGCTAGAGGAGCCGCTTCACGATTGGAAAGTTCAGATCCAACATTTAACTAAAGCCCTGCTCTGCCCTGCCCTGACAGGTCAGGACAGAACAGGGTAACGTTACGAAAATATATGAAAGGAATAAATAGTGAGTAATTGGTACCAATCTCCAAGAGATATCAGTGGACTATGCCGATAATTATGACAGAGTTGGTCGATATATTAGCACTGACATGAAAAACTTACACAAAAATCTCAACATTTCTTTGGTTTTATGTAAAATGGCAGGGCAGGACAGGTTACAGGTCATATAAATCCATCACGCTCAATATTGCTATTATGGTAGAAGTCGTAGACGAATCTTTTTTTTACATTGAATTCGAAATACAGCAGAAATATACGAACCTATATTTGTATTACGATAAAGTTAGCAAGTTACATGCTAATAAAAAGGTCTCCTTTCAGAAATCGATTTCTTGCTCAGTCTTACATAATAACCAGCTAGGCCGTTCACTGCATCTTTTCCACCATGCGGCGAAATTTGCTTTCGAAAGTAAGAGGCCACGATGGCCAGCTCGAATGAGATTTTCCGTATATGGTAAGTAACTGATGTCAGCTATTGTAAATTGATTTCCAGCAAAATATTCATTAGTTGCTAAATGTTGATCGATAATCGTCAAGATACTTTCTAACTTCTTCTTTTTCTCTTCAACTAGCTTGCCGTCGACTTCACCCAAGTGTTTCATTTTTGGTTTCCATAGCGTTTCCCAGACTAGAGGAGTTGCTTCACGATTAAAATGTTCAGATTCAACATTCAACCATTGTTCCATTAGACCGTAATTCTTTGCGTTTTCTGGTTGCAGTTTTGCACCTAAATTTAGTATAAAGTATTGTCTGTTCATTTTCTACTATTGAAATTTTACCTTCAGTTGGATATTTTCTCAGAAGATACCGAATAATTGCTCTTGATTCAAAGACTTTTGTTCCATCGACATCTTCAAGTAATGGAACTTGACCAAATGGTTGCAAAGCAAGATAAGTTGCTTGTTTGTGTTCACCTTTACCCAAATCAACGAGAACAATTTCATATGGTAAACCCATTTCTTCTAATACACATCGAACTCGTCGAGTGCATGTGGACATCTTCATTCCATGTAGTTTGATCATTGACTTCGTTGCAGACATTTTCTTGCACTCTTTGACAGTATGTAACACGGGTGTGAAAAAGCAAAGAAAAAAGCTCTGACAGAACGAGAAGAATCGTCGTTGCCACGTGTATGTGTTTCTCTCTCTCTCCTTGTTATGTGAAATAGAAAAGACGTCCGCCGAGATTGATGTATGACTTATCCAAAAGTTATGAATATTATTGAATTGTTTTTAAAGATGGCAGAATACGAGTTTAATCTGACTCAATATGGCTTCTACCAACGCGACATGGCAACGTAAAGTTGTATTGCGTATTGGAAATGAAAATTATTGTCGATCTCAAGATCGATTGAGGCGCACGATTCATGATGCCAATGATATTGACTCTGTCTTATGAAATATGAACTTTTGCATACGAACTAAACATAATGTGTGTAGTTCACAGATGCTTCAAGTATGTTCGGAGTTTTCGAAAACAATTCTTGATGGTGATATAATCTTCTTCTATTTTTCCGGTCATGGGTGTAAACTTGATGGACAGAATTAACTTGCGCTAATCGATGACGAATAAATTGAAAATTTCGATATTAACATCGAGCAAATTCTTCAGCAATAGTCTCAACAATTTCCGTCATCAAATCTCCTATTTATCTTGGATTGCTGCCGATTGCCTTATTCATACAAAAGACGAACAAAAACTCAGAAGCAAAACGATTCGAATCAATCGAAAGTACCGCGTGGTGCGTATATAGTTTTTGCTTGTAGTCAATATTAAATAGCTTCGGATGCGCTATTAGTTGAAAGAAGTGGATTATCCGCCAAGCATTTACTAAAGCATCTGACGAAATCAGATAAAGATTTGAGACAACTACTTCGAAGTGTGAACATTGGTGCCTGCATCAAGAGTAATCAAAGACAGAAGCCAGCACGTTTAGATGGTCTAGTTGACTTCAAATACATTTATTTAATCGAAAAACCTTTGAAAACATACAATAACAATTACCTATCGTGCCCATTGTTCTTATTCAGATTTCATTGTTTTCAAGAGGCAAACAGAAATCAATCGTTTCTGTGGCAATTCACACTTCAGCATTGGGCACGTCTTTTTTCCTTCTATGACTTAAAAAAACAATCACTCGTACGGCAGCATTTTCTCCCTAACGATAGTATTTTCATAATCAATAAAGCAAACAGCGGTTGCGATGTTTATGTGAACACGCATAAAGAGTGACAGAAAAGCGAAAGCAAAATGTCTTCACTTTTCTTGCTATTCAATCTGACAAAATAAGAAGTATTCCATGGCTGCTGTGCAACAATTTGGTTGTTACGGAGATCGATTGCGTTCGCGAATTGTTTCCCGAGGTAACATATCAAAATGTTCTCATAATAACCATTCTAATCATACGGTATACAATAAACGATTGCTGCTAAGACATACTGAATTTCTTTCGCGTTTTAGAATTCGGATGATGTTTGTGCATCATGTCATCAACGCATTAGACCGAATAATGACGATGCATTTCAGGCGACTTTAGAAAAATTGTTTCCTGACGTTTACGAGTTAGAAGAATTTGTTTTTCTAACGAAACAAACTTTAGTTCCAAAAGATTTCTATCCACATGTGAATACCTTGGTTTGCGTTGGTTTATGTCGAGATGAAATCACCAGTTCATTTGAAGAAGAAATAGAAGCCATGTGGGGACAAGGATTTATCTGTGGATGTCTTGGTGGGATGTTGTTTTGTGGTAACACTGGTTTCGCTGCTGCACATCATCATGCGCCTGACGATGGTCGTTTTATCTATTATTGCTTTACACATATTGCTATCGATCACGAAGGATGCGTCGGTTCTGTTTATAGAACTCGTAGTGGTATGAGTGGCAAAACAACAGCATGCGGAGCACTTGCTGCGTTTACTTCTGAAATTGCTTCAGGCAAATTAGATCTGACGTTCGATGAGAATGACATGGAAATGAGTATGTTGAAAAAACATATTCTGAAAAAAACTTCTCTTTCATCTGATGCGAAAAATGCACCAGATTTATTTCAAGTAACAATGGCTGCTTATGAGACGATTACCATTGATTTAGAACTACATGCCAAACATGATGCAGAGCACTTTCCCGACCGGCGGTATGCTCTATTTACTGGTGTTCAAATTCATGGGCCCAATGGGAAAGATTACTGTTGGTTGGGCAAAGCGAGTCTGTTGAGTGGCGGTGTATTAGCATCGTTAAGCCTGTCATCTTAATTACTGACCGCTAGATATGACAGCTAAAATATGTACACTTAGTTTGCATTGATTTTATGTTTATTTAAAAGCATTTTTTCAAATAAAACATGCATTGTAATAGTTAAAAATGATCGTCGTTTACGATGAAAGTTTTTGTATTATTGTGTCCAATTGATTTTCATAAGCTCGGGTTTCTGGATGATCCGGTCCAAAAGCTAGGATTGCAGATGTGACTGACTCTCTTGCACAGTCGAATGCTTCTGGGTAGCGTTCCATGGCATAAAGAGCGGATGCTGTAGAATTGTATGTATATGCTAGATATTGATGATTGACAGGATGACTTCGTAAAAGCAAATCACGCACCTTTTCAAAGACCATGAGCGCCTTTTCATACTCCATCACCGTACACAAATCAATACCTACTTGATTATATTGCATAACCAACGATATATCATTCGGAGGAAGAAGTCTTCGGAAAGTGTCGAGGAAATCTATAGATGAGGCACAAGATTGCAGCACATACTCTTTTAAATCATTGAGATGAGCCGCTTCTGATTCATCATTTGACGAATTTTGCGATACTAGATGATAATTTTGCAGTTTTGCAGTGAATAGTTGATTCTGTTTATTATTCTCCATAGATATATCTATCAATAATTGCAAATCACTCTCATTAGTCCCAGACGACAAGGCAGCGTCCGATCTCAATACTGATTGTGCTTCCATCTGTTGTTTAGTTATCTTGGAGATTTGGCAAAAAGACTGCGCTGTTTGAAATAGATTTAGTGCTCCGTTGTTTTTCATGCATGCATCAAGATTTGCACAGTCTTGATTTACGGTAGAATACTGTTCTTGTAGTAGATCAATTGTGCGTTTCATAACGTTATTTTCGTAATCAGCAGATGTGTTGTTCAAAGCAGCCGTAGCTCGTTTTATTTGAAGGATATTTTGATTGATCGCCATCATTCCGCTAATATCACCGCTTAGTCCCTTCAAGATCGTAATGCATGCGTAAGTGGAAAGCAGCTCTGGGTGATGATCTCCAAGACTTTGTTTTTGAATTCGGACTGCTTCTTCGTAGTGGCATAGTGCAGATGAAAGATTTCCTAATGATTGTTGTACTGAACCAAGCTCTCGATATGCCACAGCTACAAGAGGATGAGTAGGTGACATCTTTTGTTTCAGAATGGCAAGAGCGTTCTCAAGGTGAAGAAGAGCTACTGTAAAATCGCCTTTTCTTTGGTGTAGAGAACCCATGATGAGCTGCGCTCTCCCAAATTCCCAATGATCTAATAAATGTAGTTCTTTATATATTTTCAGCGCTTTCTCCAAATATTCGACTGCAGACGAAAAATCACTCATTTCACTTTTAATCATACCAATATTGACGTGTAACGAAGCAATATCTAGATGATCAGATGGTAAAGATTTACTCGCGATTGCAAGGGCTTTCTGGAAGTATGAAAGTGCTTCTTGATAATTGCAAAGAGATCGTTGCAAAAATCCAATGTGCGTGTAAATTTTTATCATTATTGGATTATTTGAGAGTTGGGAGTTTTCTAAAATGTCACGAGATATTTCTAGGTTCGAATGTGCTAAGATATTATTCCCTATTGAGAGATGCAAAACGGCAATTGTGTTATAGGCTATACCCAAGTATGGATGGCTCGATGGAAGCACTCTCTTTTGTATTTCCAGTGCTTTTTCAGCGTAAAGCATTGCCACTGAATATTCGCCAAGTGACTCGTATGCAGAAGCGATGTTTGTATATATTTGAGCCAAATCTGGATGATTATGCGGTAGACATTTTTCGAGAATTTGTAATGCTTTCTGATAATTGGTCAAAGCCGATGGAAAATCGCCCGTCTGATATTGATTCACGCCCATAAAATGGTATGCAATGCCGTATAACCGATGGTCAAGAGGTAAATGCTTCTGGAAGATTTCTGAAGCTTTAACATAGTTTTCAAGAGACGCAGCATATTCTCCTGTTTATGCAAATGTCATTCCATATTTGAGGTAAAGAAGACCTATTAAGAAATCATCAGCCGGTAAACGTTGAAACCAAAAGTTAAGTAAAAGCTCATAATATACGCGTGCTGCACCATGTTCTCCTTTAAACAAATGTGAATTGACTATGGATTCTCCGAGGACTATCCGTTGTATCATTTGTGATGGCTGATCGTCGCCATTAGTAGCGTCGTAGAGATCATTATAGATTTCCAAAGCACCATCAAAATTTCCTATCTTTTCCATGAATAATGCCATTCGAGACCACCCTTCGGCAAAACTGATTTCTTTTTTCAGAAAATCTGCGAGATTATTCAAATCAGGATCATGTTTATCTGTTGCACTTAACTTTACTAGCCACAATCGTTCTTCTACTTCTTCCATGTCACTTATTCGAAATACGCTGTGCATGGAAAACAGAATCTCTTGTTCTTCTGGAAAATTGCTAAGCCTTTCTACAGATGTGAATGAAGCTGAAGAGACTGTTGGGTCGATTTCTATTTGGAAGATAATTCCTGTCGTATCATTCTGAGATCGAACACTCTCAGCTAACATTTTGGCTACAAGTCGATTCTTGCTCGTTGACAGGAAGCAATTGAATGAGAAGAGAGCACCTTTACTCTTCTTCATTTCTTCGAATTTTCTACTTGGTAGACCTTGTCCACGATAAACAGTTATATTCGATCGATGATTATCTTCTAACCATCTCTTCTTGATATCATTGTGAAGATCTTGAAGGAAGAAAGCCATTTTCATCAATACTTTCATGTCCTGGTTTCTCAATGCTTTGTTTACATTGGAAAACAGGAAATTAGCTTTTGTATACCACCAAATGGCACTATTTTCGTCATAATGCTTTTCAAATTGATTGACATCGTTTGATTTGAAATCAACACTCGTTGATGGGTCTCGGCAGAATTTGATAAAGTCCGCTTTGGCTTTCTTTTTGTCATACTTCATTTCCATCAAGATTTCTTTGAATAGCTGTGTGTACATAAATGATGAATCAAGTTCATCAAACGAAATACTTGAATTCAACGATAAAAAGCTAAATGACGAATCAGTAGACAATCGACAGAACTCTTGCTTGATTGCATAACACATTTGTTCGATATGATGATAAACACTTTTGACTTTTTTGTTCCAAGGACGGCATAGTTTTCATTGTTGAGTTGATGATGAAACAGATAGATCGCATGAATTTGTGGGATAAAATTAATGAGAGGAATGATGTCTACGTAAGAATAGTTGTACAGTATTAGCAGAGCATTAACGTCGTTTGCACTAGTTAGAGAATCAATGCATTGATCTTGATCTGTGTACCACTCAGTTGATGGTGAAATATTTTGTAATTGTTTATTTAAGTCCTGAAAGTTGAAATCGGATTGATCGATGTTTGCCGATAAAACAATAACAACAGGCGTTTTTGTCGTGTATGTATCGATAGATTGTTCGAGTTTATTAGTAGTAATCCGACCGAGCTCGATCATTTTATTAATGATCTCATCACCTGGCTCATGAGAAATGCTCCCTATCATCGATGAATCAGCTGAATTGGATACAACAGTCGATTGATCTGTAGTAGCTGTATGTTGAAGTCTTGATTCTGCCATGAGATCGCGTTGTTTATCGAATGATTATCTTTGAAACCGATATTTTGGCTCGGTTAATTTTGTTGGAAATTACCCGGTGAAGAAGCGGGGAAAGGTATTTTTCGTATGAAGTGCATTGGACCGTAACGGGAGAAAACGTAAACTTTGTCATGACTTGGTGCAGCAGAACGCAGCATGAAGCTGATAGCTTCTAAAATTAATATCCACTAGCGTATTACCTTCATCTCTCGTCGGTAGCGCGAGACATCTATTGAAAATATCAAAGATGGTGAGTGACAATTTTGATATTTTCCATGATAGATATTCTCTTTCAGTTTTAATAACTTCGCTAATTCACCTGCCAATATTTTACTTTTGCCTCCAATCTTACAGCAGTCAAGTTTTTTTTTCTTTATTTGACATATTTGCGTAATTTCATACGCTTATCATTCCACCATAAAAAGTACTGAGCAAATACACAGCTTAAAGTGCATCAAATAATTCTTTTCTCGTAACATTTCTAAATAAATGGCACAACCGAATACAGTGACCATCTGCCATTTGAGCTGCAATGGTATTCTCGCTGGCATGAAGACAATTACAACACTTCTAGCCATCCTACAGCGTCATAATTTCAAAATCAAACCAGTCAACATCCACCCAGGCTGTATCCTTTATGTCTGTGTTCATCGAGGATCAGGCGTCGATCCTACTCCACTTCAACAAGAAATGATGCTTCATATTCCGGCGGGAAAAAATAAATCGATTCAAGATATTCAATGGACATTTGCTTAGCGAGTGTTTGATCATTTTTTATGTAATTGTTGGAGTTTCATCAGAAACTTAATAAAGAGAATGAACTTAAAGAAAAGTAATCTATTCGATGGATTTACCTGTCACAATTGACAGAGTAATGACCAATTCGTCATTTATCATTTTAGCTATTTTTCTTTCAGTTCGCTGTTTCCAATCCACAAATGAATGAATTCTGCTTCGGATATGTGCAGTTTGCCATCAAATACTTTGTGTATAACAGCCATGGTTTCACCTTCAAAAGGATCACTTTCATTCTTCTCTGCTATTTCGATATCGTTATCAAGAGGTTTCACGAAGAAAATGCATAATGCTTTTTTCACGTCGGCATATATAACAAGATCATCGTGATCTTTTGCCTGAAATGATTATATCTATGCGAGCTATTAGTGCTATTCGTTGATGGAACTTTCGTACCTGAATGATGATGATCGATAGCATAGAAGAGCCGTCTGTAGTAATCATCTTCCAACGTTTCAACATTCAATGGTTCTTCATCGTCTAAACAATAAAATAATTCCAAGAGTTGCTTCAACGATAATCCATCACTCGGATATTTATCTCGGATTGGTTCTGAAATATGAAAATGATACTGTCATAGCGTACTGAAACGAATATAGTTACTAACCGAAAATATTACGAATTTCTTTTTCTGGTAATCTTGTTCTTGATGCAAGAGTACTCAATCTTTCTTTGATTATTTCATTTTTTGAGGCCATTTTGTCTGAAGATATTCTTAATAGTTCCGCAATTGATGCTAACAAAATATGTTGAAAATATCAGGGAGCTAAAGTGCCGGTATATATAAATATGAAACGGAGATTATTTTTTGTTTGAATACTTTGACAAATCGTGCATTTTGCCGTAAGGAATGGAACAAAACGGTGCCACAACGATGTTCTCACCTTTCAGACAATAACAAGAAATTCATATCAAACACACTGCATTTTGTTCGACTGACAAGATAAGTGAAGTTAAAGCATTTAGAGAAAAGAGTTGGCAATCATCTATTGCGTGCTTTCGTAATTGAACAAAAATCCAATTATATTTCGTAGGAAGATCGTACAGTCGAGTTTCGATGAAACAGCTGGAACAACAACTGTCTAACAGAGTCGTTTATGTGTGATGAGGAATGAAATCATTTGCAATCTGTTACGTATTTAATTTTGCATGACTACAGTTACAAAAACTTCAAAACGAGCTTTGACGTTATAGAAAGAAAACTGTATAAGATACCGATACATTCATTAAAACCGATTTTTTAAAATGTATTATCACCATCGTTGTACTCGTATGCGAGTACATCGACTTTGTTCTTTATATAGTTCTCGAGACGTATAGAATTACGTCATATAAAAATCACCTGATGATCATATGTTTAAAAAAATGAAGGTTAGACAGGTAAAGTACAAAGTCGTATTCTCGGATGTATGGCCCCATAAATTTGCCGATAGTGAAATTCGTGTATTGGAGAAAATGAGTAATAGCTGAGCTTTATACAACAAGAATGAGAATAATAGTATATGATTTTCTCGTTGAATCTCTTTGCAAGAAAAAGTTCCATGCGTTTCTACCGAGCAGAAAAAATCTTCTTAACAACGGAATTAATTTTTGCTTTTCTTCCTTTTATGTTAGTATAGACTTAACTAAAAAAAGAGAAAATATTTGCGACTCAAACAGTCGATGTCTCTAAATATGATAGGAGCGAGCAATTCTTATCATAAAACGTGTTGAATCGTTTCAAATTCAAATTATAGGTGTGTTGTTTATCAATCAATGATTAGTAATTGTATTTGCATTGCCTTTTTTTCCATATAGATAATTATTTGTCAATTTGTTCGTTGATCCAACTCATTTGAATATAAGACAAGAAAGAAAAGGAGAAGAGGAAAGAATAACGTTCTTTTTCTTGTCGTTACATTGTAAGAAGAAAAAAGAGAAAGAGAAAAAAAAAAGAAATGACAACACTTTTCTTTTCTCGTTGTACCCAAGTACAACAAAAAAGAGTCTGATAATGATGAATTTTGTTTTTTATCTGATCTGTTTCTACTTTTGGAGTCTATTTTGGTAGTGTAAAAAAAGAGATAGATATGACTAATATAGTACGTACTATTTTGCTGAGGTTATCGACACTTATATATTTGCATATCTTGCACTTCGTACTTTCGTCTTGGTTGTACCTGTAAAAGTACAAGGATAGAATAGGTGAAAGTATTCCGATGATCGAACGATGAGTCTTAGGCAAATATAATCATGACGTTTTTTTTCTCTTTCATTTGAAGAAAAGTCTTATTGGTAATCATGACTAACGATGATTTAGCTGTCGTTGGTATAGCGTGTCGTTTTCCTGGTGGAAGTAATTCAACGGATGAATTTTGGTTAAATTTAATTAACAAACGTGACTGCGTGCGTCCTATTCCAAGCGATCGTTGGAATGCAGATTATTTTACAGATAATCAATCAAATGAAATACATTCTCCTGGTAAGATTACTTCGTCACGATGTGGTTGGATCGATTTCGTTGGAGAATTTGATTATGAATCATTCTCGATTGGTAAACGTGAAGCTGAAAACATGGATCCACNATAATCTGGATCCTTGTGCGTACCCAAATATGGATGATGATTTCTCACATGTGACACTTGATAGCCATGAAAACTTTGAAAGATCAAATAGCCCGAAGTAAATGTTCCGAGAACGAAATTAATGTATTGGTTCGATGCGAAACAATAGTGTGTGGCTAAATGCAGACAATCTGCGAGGCCACGCTGTCGAGCACCAATAATGCAGATCGCGAGGAAATAAGTCATCAATGGCAACAGGAAATATGTGTGATGATGAGCATAAACATATTTGGAAGTATAGATCGAAAGAAAGATGATGGACCAATCTTCAATCAACGAGAGGAGACCATGAGTATTGTTTGTCTTCTGCGATATCGTGTGTTTAAATACTTGGGCGCGGATCGCTTCATTGAAACGGTATCGTTTGAATGTTTTCACCTTCTCCATGTGTGTATTCGTAATATAAGTAGACGAGTATACGCTGTTCATCTTTCATTTTGCATTCATATTTATATACTTTTGGAAGCCCATCTACAGCATCTGACGTCATTTTTGTTATTGACCCTCGTTTTATGAACGACACGTATGACGCATGGGTAATTATGTGAGATGGTGGGAAAATCACACCCGCCCATCGGTGCACTGTCAAGGTACGTGTGTTATGGGCGGGGTGACAGATCAGAACGCAATGTTCCCTCGACCGTGAGTTTGATCGATGATTTCTGCTCAAGGTGGTAAAGATTGTCAAAGATCTGTGCGATGCCTGCATGTTAGTTGAGACACTGAGAAAACGAAAATCATCATATTCCTTTCCATTTCTTTATTTTCAAATATGTTTACATGAAAACAGATGTGAGAATCAAGTCCTGTAATATCCGACAAAAAGTGTCAACTTCTTCTTTGGTATTGAAATAATGGATCGAGGCTCGAATCATATGATTTAGATTTCTTGCAGTCATGTCGATCAAGGTATGATGACGCACTGCTACCGAAGTATTGATCTTTCTTTCACGAAGTTGTTTGCACAGTTTCACCATATCCATTCCATCAATCTCGACAGTAAAGGTAACGATTCCACACTTGATCTGTCCCAGATCTTGTACTTGAACACGATCGATCATCGACAGTTTCTTGCGAAATAGTTCTCCTAGCTGTTGAATTCGTTGCCAGATATGTTCTATGCCAAGATCTAATGCATTCTGAACAGCATAAGTTAAACCTAATTTTGCAGCAATGTTACATTCGGAGATTTCAAACATTCGTGCATCTTTTCGGAACTCATATTCATTTTGACTTTTCCATTGCGCCGAATGTAAATCGAGACAAAATGGTTCCAAGAAGTTCAGCATCTTCTCGCTCATGAACAAAAATCCAGTACCACGTGGACCACGTAGAAACTTCCGTCCACTAGCTGAAAGCATATCNGTTATCGAAAAGCTTTTCTAAAAGGAATCGACTTTGCATTACGAACGAATCAAATAACTCGAATATTTGTGGCAAGTCATAATGAAGATACAGTTCGATTTGCTATAGAAACGTAAGTTTCGAAGATTGTCAATATTTAATCAAATGACCATTGTAGAATGAAAGAGTTCAATATCAAATCAGATGATGAAATTGTTTCGTTCGCGACATTATTTGGCATGTGTGATTACATAACGTTTACGCTAGGTAAAAGAATTCAAAATTGATTCCTCCAAGAGTGACATTGGGATTTTTTAGCTGCAGCCAAGTTCAATTCTTATAAACTAATGCCGTATGGACCGTTGGAATCGTTTCTACCGTATTTAGCTCGACGTGCACAAGATAATCGAGCAATATTTAAAAAAGCGGAGAAAGATCGATTACTTATGTACAAAGCATTGAGAGACCGTCTGTTCAAAACTCAGCAGTGGTGTTAGAATTTTGTTCTGTTAATTGATTCATCATTAATAAAAATTAAAATAATATGTAAAGTTTTCGCCATGTAACGTCCTTTTCAAACGGATGAGATACCAAAACAAATAGTGTTATTTATTTGTAATCTTTATAAGAAGTAGAAAGAGGATCGAACGCGTGTGACGTGATTATTCGATCATGCTTTGAATCGTACGCATGTTCGAAAGAGAAAGGGATGGTCTAATCATTTTATTTACACTAGTATCATATTTATTTCGAAACAAAATCATGGACTGACATACTACATATATCTTATTTTCATTAACAATTCTCACAGTGTATTATAATTATAACTTTCAAATGTGATCGTTCGTTAATGGAAGCCCATGTTTTCTAGGAGTATTGAATAGCGGTATGTCAATGGACGAAAAGAATGGAACATGTGCAATATAATTATAATCAGTCATGTGTTACAACGTATATTTGATCAGATACGGGTTGTTCTGTCCTCTCTTTCTACTGAATATTACCCAACAACAACATGTAAACCTTGGATATATTTATATTTAGCTATGGGCGTATAAATAACTGAAATGAAATGAACAATCATTGGATCGTTCTTTTTACTTTCTTTTCTTTCATTCGATTTCTGATATTTACGTCAGTTGTCAAGTAAAAAGAATCAAGTGTAAGAGGAAGACTGTTGACAAACTTTTTCGCTTTTATTAATATTATATATATCTAACTAAGAGGCTACTGATCAAAACAAAATTTTCTTCACTAGTAACTTCTCGTTGCGTTCGTGATAATGTCGAAAACAGTAAATGAGAAAGATGTTCCTGCCGAAGTTTCACATACTAATCTTCTCGATTATTCTCATTCAATCATATGGCGAATATTACATGGTACTTCTTTCTTATTTGGTGGCCTTCTCTTTATCTGCGGCTCTTGCATGTATTTCACCGACGTTATCGCAAACAATGATCATGCGTTGGAAGCTAGTGGATGGCTCTACACAATTGGTTCCGCTTGTTTCCTTCTTGCTGATATGCAAGATTGACTTTACTGTCATATCGGTTTTCTATTTTCTTCCAAAGCAGAGGACACTCCTCGCCGTACTACTTATGATCCTGAACTCGAACCGGTGTCATCCCATCGAGGCAGAAACATTGCCATTAATGTCAACTATTTTACTTCAAACATTGGTTCTGCTCTTTACTTAGTAGGATCGGTGTTCTTTTTACCGAAGTTTGCAGATTCGATCCTGGTGGGTGATGGACTATTCACTGCTGGTTCAGCAGTTATCTATCTGTCAGAAGGATGGAAAATTGTCCGATTAGCTTGTACAAGTGCTGAGAATACCAATGATATGTCGTTTCGCTTTCAAAATATCCGCACGAATCTTCAAGCCATTTTTGTCTGCTTTTTCGCCGGTCTTGGTGGGGTTTTCTATTTCGTTGGCACCATTCTCTTTTTACCACAATATGTTACCTCTAACTCTGACGAAGACCGAGCCGCAGGACTGTTCTTAGTTGACGGAGTCTTTTTCACTCTCGCCGGCTTGTTATTACAATACCGCTATTATTGCAGACGTCGTACATGAATTCAAGTCTTTATTTGTACTACGATAAAGATAACACGTTATATGTCAATAAAAAAGTCTCCTTTCAGAAATCGATTTCTTGCTCAGTCTTACATAATATCCAGCTAGGCCGTTCACTGCATCTTTTCCACCATGCGGCGAAATTTGCCTTCGACAGTAAGAGGTCACGATGACCAGCTCGGATGAGATTTTCCGTATATGGTAAGTAACTTATATCGGCTATTGTAAATTGATTTCCAGCAAAATATTCATTAGTTGCTAAATGTTGATCGAGGATCGTCAAGATACTTTCTAACTTCTTCTTTTTCTCTTCAACTAGCTTGCCGTCGACTTCACCCAAGTGTTTCATTTTTGGTTTCCATAGCGTTTCCCAGACTAGAGGAGTTGCTTCACGATTAAAATGTTCAGATTCAACATTCAACCATTGTTCCATTAGACCGTAATTCTTTGCGTCTTCTGGTTGCAGTTTTGTACCTAAATTTCGTATAAAGTATTATCTGTTCATTTTCTACCATTGAAATTTTACTTTCAGTTGGATATTTTCTCAGAAGATACCGAATAATTGCTCTTGATTCAAAGACTTTTGTTCCATCGACATCTTCAAGTAATGGAACTTGACCAAATGGTTGCAAAGCAAGATAAGTGGCTTGTTTGTGTTCACCTTTACCCAAATCGACGAGAACAATTTCATATGGTAAACCTATTTCTTCTAATACACATCGAACTCGTCGAGTGCATGTGGACATCTTCATTCCATGTAGTTTGATCATTGGCTTCGTTGCGGACATTTTCTTGCACTCTTTGACAGTATGTAACATGGGTGTGACGAAGCAAAGAAAAAATATGTGAAAGAACGACAAGAATCGTCGTTGCCACGTGTATGTGTTTTCTCTCTCCTTTTTATATGAAATAGAAAAAACGTCGGCCGAGATTTACGTATGACATATCCAAAAGTTATGAAAGATTTCGCAATATTCTGTATTATTGAATAGTTTTTAAAGATGACAGAATTCGAGTTTAATCTGACTCAATGTGGCTTCCATCAACGCGACATGGCAACGTAAAGTTGTATTGCGTATTGAAAATGAAAATTATTGTCGATCTCAAGGTCGATTGAGGCACACGATTATTGATGCCAATGATATTGGCCCTGTCTTATGAAATATGAACTTTTGCATACGAACTAAACATGATGTGTGTAATTCACAGATGCTTCAAGCATTTTCGAAGTTTTCGAAAACAATTCCTGGTGGTGATCTAATCTTCTTCTATTTTTCCGGTCATGGGTGTAAACTTGATGGGCAGAATTAACTTGCGCTAATCGATGACGAATAAATTGAAAATCTCGATATTATCATCGAGCAAATTCTTTAGCAACGGTCCCATCAATTTCGGTCATCGATCATCCTATGTATCTTAGATTGCTGCCGATTGACTTATTCATATAAAAGACGAACGAACAATCAGAAGCAAAACGATTCGAATCAATCGAAAGTATCTCGTGGTTCATATGTTGTTTTTGCTTATATTCAATATCAAATAGCTTCGGATGGGCTATTAGGTGAAAGAAATGGATTATACGCCAAACATTTACTAAAGCATCTGACGAAATCAGATAAAGATTGGAGACAACTACTTCGAAGTGTGGACATTGGTGCATACATCAAGAGTAATCAAAGACAGAAGCCAGCACGTTTAGATGGTCTAGTTGACTTCAAATAAATTTATTTAATCGAAAAACCTTTGAAAACATACAATAACAATTACCTATCGTGCCCATTGTTCTTATTCAGATTTCATTATTTTCAAGAGGCAAACAGAAATCAATCGTTTCTGTGGCAATTCACACTTCAGCATTGGGCACGTCTTTTTTCCTTCTATGACATAAAAACAATCACTCGTACGGCAGCATTTTCTCCCTAACGATAGTATTTTCATAATCAATAAAGCAAACAGCGGTTGCGATGTTTATGTGAACACGCATAAAGAGTGACAGAAAAGCGAAAGCAAAATGTCTTCACTTTTCTTGCTATTCAATCTGACAAAATAAGAAGTATTCCATGGCTGCTGTGCAACAATTTGGTTGTTACGGAGATCGATTGCGTTCGCGAATTGTTTCCCGAGGTGACCTATCAAAATGTTCTCATAATAACCATTCCAATCATACGGTATACAATAAAAGATTGTTGCTAAAGCATACTGAATTTCTTTCGTATTTTAGAATTCGAATGATGTGTGTACATCATGTCATCAACGCATTAGACCGAATAATGACGATGCTTTTCAGGCAACTTTAGAAAAATTGTTTCCTGACGCTTACGAATTAGAAGACTTTGTTTTTCAAACGAAACAAACTTTAGTTCCAAAAGATTTCTATCCACATGTGAATACCTTGGTTTGCGTTGGTTTATGTCGAGATGAAATCACCAGTCCATTTGAAGAAGAAATAGAAGCCATGTGGGGGCAAGGATTTATCTGTGGATGTCTTGGCGGGATGTTGTTTTGTGGTAATACTGGTTTCGCTGCTGCACATCATCATGCGCCTGACGATGGTCGTTTTATCTACTATTGCTTTACACATATTGCCATCGATCACGAAGGATGCGTCGGTTCTGTTTATAGAACTCGTAGTGGTATGAGTGGGAAAACAACAGCATGCGGAGCACTTGCAGCTTTTACTTCTGAAATTGCTTCAGGCAAATTAGATCTGACGTTCGATGAGAGTGACATGGAAATGAGCATGTTGAGAAAACATATTCTGAAAAAGACTTCTCTTTCATCTGATGCGCACAATGCACCAGACTTGTTTCAAGTAACAATGGCTGCTTATGAGACGATTACCATTGATTTAGAACTATATGCCAAACATGATGCAGAGCACTTTCCAGACCGCCGATATGCTCTATTTACTGGTGTTCAAATTCATGGGCCCAATGGGAAAGATTACTGTTGGTTGGGCAAAGCGAGTCTATTGAGTGGCGGTGTATTATCACCATTGAGCCTGTCATCTTGATTAATGACTGCTAGATATGACAGCTGAAACATGTACACTTAGTTTGCATTGATTTTATGTTTATTTAAAAACATTTTTTCAAATAAAATATGAACTGTAATAGTTACGAGTGATCGTCGTTTAGGATGAAAGTTTTTGTATTATTATATCCAGTCGATTTTCGTAAGCTAAGCTTTGCGGATGATCAGGTCCAAAAGCTAGGATTGCAGATGTGACTGACTCCCTTGCACAGTCGAATGCCTCTGGGTAACGTTCCATGGCATAAAGAGCGAAGGCTGTAGAATTGTATGTATATGCTAGATATTGATGATTGACAGGATGACTTCGTAAAAGCATATCACGCACCTTTTCAAAGATCACGAGCGCCTTTTCATACTCTATCACCTTACATAAATCAATACCTACTTGGTTATATTGCATAGCCAACGATATATCATTCGGAGGAAGAAGTCTTCGGAAAGTGTCGAGTAAATCTATAGATGAGGCACAAGATTGCAGTACATACTCTTTTAAATCATTGAAATGAACCGCTTCTGATTCATCATTTGGTGAATTTTGCGATGCTAGATGATACTTTTGCAGTTTTGCAATGAACAGTTCATCCTGTTTATTTTGCCTCATGCATATATTAGACAACAATTGTACATCACTCCTATTAGTCCAAGGCGACAGGTCAATATCCAATTCTAATTCGGATTCGAATTTTATCTGTTGTCCGATTATCTTGTTGATTCGACAAGTGGAATTCATTATATCGCATAGATCGGTTTCTGTTCGATCATCGAGATCATTTTGAAAGGAATTTTGTGCTCCGTAGTTTTTCATATATACATCAAGGTTTTGACAGTCTTGAATTACGGTGGGATATTGTTGTTGTAATAGATCAATCGTGCGTTTCATAACGTTATTTTCGTAATCAGCAGATGTGTTGTTCAAAGCAGCCGTAGCTCGTTTTATTTGAAGTATATTTTGATTGATAGCCATCGTTCCGCTAAGATCACCGCTTAGTCCCTTCAAGAGCATAATGCATGCGTAAGTAGGAAGCAAGTCTGGATGATGATCTCCAAGACTTTGCTTTTGAATTCGGACTGCTTCTTCGTAGTGACATAGTGCAGATGAAAAATTTCCCAATGATTGCTGTACTAAACCAAGCTCTCGGTATGTGTCAGCTACAAGAGGATGAGCAGGTGACATCTTTTGTTTCAGAATGGCAAGAGCGTTCTCAAGGTGAAGAAGAGCTACTGTAAAATTACCTTTTCTTTGGTGAACAGAACCCATGATGAGATGCGCTCTCCCAAATTCCCAATGATCCACTAAATCTGGTTCTTTATATATTTCCAGCGCTTTCTCCAAATATTCGACTGCAGACGAAAAATCACTCATTTCACTTTTAATCATACCAATATTGACGTGTAACGAAGCAATACTTAGATGATCAGATGGTAAAGATTTATTCACGATTGCAAGGGCTTTCTGGAAGTATGAAAGTGCTTCTTGATAATTGCGAAGAGAGTGTTGTAAAACTCCAATGTTCGTGTAAATTTTTATCATTATTGGATTATTCGAGAATTGGGAGTTTTCTAAAATGTTACGAGATATTTCTAAGTTCGAATGTGCTAAGATATTATTCCCCATTGAGAGATGCAAAACGGCAATTGTGTTATAAGCTATACCCAGGTTTGGATGGCTCGATGGAAGCACTCTCTTTTGTATTTCCAGTGCTTTTTCAGCGTAAGGCATTGCCACTGAATATTCGCCAAGTGACTCGTATGCAGAAGCGATGCTTGTATATATTTGAGCCAAATCTGGATGATTATGCGGTAGGCATTTTTCGAGAATTTGTAACGCTTTCTGATAATTGGTCAAAGCCGATGGAAAATCGCCCATCTCATATTGACTCGCGCCCATGAAATAGTATGCAATACTGTATAAGCGATGGTCAAGAGGTAAATGTTTCTGGTAGATTTCTAAAGCTTTGACATAGTTTTCAAGAGACGCAGCATATTCTCCTGTTTGTGCAAATGTTATTCCATATTTGAAGTAAAGAAGACCTATTAAGAAATCACCAGCCGGTAAATGTTGAAGCGAAAAGTTAAGTAAAAGCTCATAATATACGCGTGCTGCACCATGTTTTCCTTTAATCAAATATGATTTAACTATGGACTCTCCGATGACTATCCGCTGTATCACTTGTGATGGCTGATCGTCGCCATTAGTAGCGTCGTAGAGATCACGAAAGATTTCCAAAGCACCATCAAAATTTCCTATCCTTTGCATTAAAAAAGCCATTCGAGACCATCCCTCAGCAAAACTGACTTCTTTTTTTAGAAAACCACTGAGATTCTGCAAATCAGGATCATCTTTATCTGTTGCAGTTAACTTTACTAGCCACAATCGTTCTTCTACTTCTTTCATGTCACCTATTCGAAATACGCTGTGCATGGAAAACAAAATCTCTTGTTCTTCTGGAAAATTGCCAAACCTTTCTACAGATGTGAATGAAGCTGAAGAGACTCTTGGGTCGATTTCTATTTGGAAGATAATTCCTGTCGTATCATTCTGCGATCGAACGCTCTCAGCTAACATTTCGGCTACAAGTCGATTCTTGCTCGTTGACAGGAAGCAATTAAATGAAAAGAGAGCACCTTTACTCTTCTTCATTTCTTCGAATTTTCTACTTGATAGACCTTGCCCACGGTAAACAGTTATCTTCGATCGATGATTATCTTCTAAGCATCTCTTCTCGATATCATTGTGAAGATCTTGAAGGAAGAAAGCCATTTTCATCAGTACTTTCATGTCCTGGTTTCTCAATGCTTTGTTTACATTGAAAAACAGGAAATTAGCTTTTGTATACCACCAAATGGCATTATTTTCGTCATATTGCTTTTCAAACTGATCGACATCGTTCGATTTGAAATCGACACTCGTCGATGGATCTCGGCAGTATTTGATAAAGACCGCCTTGGCTTTCTTTTTGTCATACTTCAGTTCCATCAAAATTTCTTTGAATAGCTGTGTGTACATAAATGATGAATCAAGTTCATCAAACGAAATACTTGAATTCGACGATGAAAAGCTAAATGACGAATCAGTAGACAATTGACAGAACTCTTGCTTGATTGCATAACACATTTGTTCAATATGATGATATACACTTTTGACTTTTTTGTTCCAAGTTCCGACGGCATAGTTTTCATTGTTGAGTTGATGACGATTATGGTGAAACAGATAGATCGCATGAATCTGTGGGATAAAATTAATGAGAGGAATGATGTCTACGTAAGAATAGTTGTACAGTATTAGCAGAGCATTAATGTCGTTTGCACTGGTTAGAGAATCAATGCATTGATCTTGATCTGTGTACCACTCAGTTGATGGTGAAATATCTTGTAATTGTTTACTTAGGTCCTGAAAACCGAAATCGGATTGATCGATGTTTGCCGTTAAAACAATAACAACAGGCGTTTTTATCGTGTATGTATCGATAGATTGTTCGAGTTTATTCGTACTAATCCGACCGAGCTCGATCACTTTATTAATGATTTCATCACTTGGCTCATGCAAAATGTTCCCTTTTGTTGATGAATCAATTGAATTCGATACAACAACCGATTGATCAGTAGTAGCGGTATGTTGAGTTCTTGATTCTGCCATGAAATCACGTTGCTTATCGAACGATCTTCCTTGAAACGGATGTTTTGGCTTAGTTAATTTTGTTGGAAATTATCCGATAAGAAAGCGGAGAAAAAGGTTTTTTGTATGAAGTGCGTTGGACCGTAACGAGAGAAAATATAAACTTTGTCATGACTTGATGCAGCAGAACGCAGCATGAAGGTGATAGCCACTAAAATTAATATCGACTAGCGTATCACCTTCATCTCTCATCGGTAGCGCGAGACATCTATTGAAAGTATGAAAGATAGTGAGTGACAATTTTGATATTTTCCACGATAGATAATCTCTTTCAGTTTTAATAACTTCCCTAATTCGCCTGCCAATATTTTACTTTTGCCTCGAATCTTACAGCAGGCAAGTTTTTTTTCTTTATTTGACATATTTGCGTAATTTCATACGCTTATCATTCCACCATAAAAAGTACTGAGCAAATACACAGCTTCAAGTGCATCAAATAATTCTTTTCTTGTAACATTTCTAAATACATGGCACAACCGAATACAGTGACCATTTGTCATTTGAGCTGCAATGGTATTCTCGCTGGCATGAAGACAATTACAACACTTCTAGCCATCCTACAACGTCATAATTTCAAAATCAAACCAGTCAACATCCACCAAGGCTGCATCCTTTATGTCTGTGTTCATCGAGAATCAGGCGTCGACCCTACTTCGCTTCAGCAAGAAATGATGCTTCATATTCCGGTGGGAAAAAATAAATCGATTCAAGATATTCAATGGACATTTGCTTAATGAGTGCTTGATATTTCTTTATATAATTATTGGAGTTTTATCAGAAATTTTATAAAGAGAATGAACTTAAAGAAAAGTAATCTATTCAATGAATTTACCTGTCACAGTTGACAGGGTAATGACCATCTTGTCATTTATCATTTTAGCTATTTCTTTGAGTTCGCTGTTTCCAATCCACAAATGAATGAATTCTGCTTCGGATACGTGTGGTTTGCCATCAAATACTTTGTGTATAACAGCCATGGTTTCACCTTCAAAAGGATCACTTTCATTCTTCTCTGTTGTTTCGATATCGTTATCAACAGGTTTCAAGAAGAAAATGCATAATGCTTTTTTCACGTCGGCATATGTAACAAGATCATCGTGATTCGAATCACAGAATTGAAAAATACTTTTCATTAACGCTTGTGAATCATCCGCTTCAAGTAGTCCGGCAATCATTATGTATTCATATATATCAATTTTGCCTGAAATGATTATTATCTATACGAGTTATTAGTACTATTCGTTGGTAAAACTTCCGTACCTGAATGATGGTGATCGATAGCATAGAAGAGTCGTCTGTAATAATCATCTTCCAGCATTTCGACATTCAATGGTTCTTCATCGTCTGAAGAATAAAATAATTCCAAAAGTTGCTTCAATGATAAACCACCACTCGGATATTTATCTCGGATTTGTTCTGAAATATGACAATGATACTGTCATAGCGTACTGAAACGAATATACTAACCGAAAATATTACGAATTTCTTTTTCTGGTAATCCCGTTCTTGATGCAAGAGTACTCAATCTTTCTTCGATTATTTCATTTTTTGAGGCCATTTTGTCTGAAGATATTCTCAATAGTTCCGCAATTGATGCTAACAAACTATGTTGGAAATATCAGGCAACTACAGTGCCGGTAAAAATGAATATGAAACAGAGATTATTTTTTTGTTTGAATGCTTTGACAAATGGTGCATTTTGCCGCAAGGAGCGAAACAAAACGGTGCCACAACGATGTTCTCACCTTTCAGGCAGTAAAAAGAATTTCACATCAAACGCACTGCTTTTTGCTCGACTGACAAAATAAGTGAAGTTACAGAATTTAGAGAAAATAGTTGACAATCGTCCATTGCGTGCTTTCATGATTGATCAAAAATCCAATTGTATTTCGTAGGAAGATCGTACAGTCGAGTTCCGATGAAGCAGCTGGGAGAACAACTGTCTAACAGAGTCGTTTATGTGTGATGAGGAATGAAATAATTTGAAAATCATTTGCAATCTGTGTCAACTCGCTAGGTGATGTTGTAATCGATGATTCATTTACGTATTTAATTTTGCATGACTACAGTTACGAAAACTTCAAAACGAGTTTTGACGTTATCGAAAGAAAACTATATAAGATAACAATATATTCATTAAACCGATTTTTTAAAAAGCAGTACCACCATCGTTGTACTCGTATGCGAGTACATCGACTTTGTTCTTTATATAGTTCTCGAGACGTATAGAATTACGTCATATAAAATCACCTGATGATCATATGTTAAAAAAAAATGAAGGTTAGACAGGTAAAGTACGGAGGCATATTCTCGGATGTATATGGCCCCATAAATTTGCCGATAACGAAATTCGTGTATTGCAAAAAAAATGAGTAATAATTGAACTTTTATACAACAAGAATGAGAATAGCAGTAAATGATTTTCTCGTTGAATCTCTTTGCAAGAGAAAGTTCCATGCGTTTCTACCAAGCGGAAAAATCTTCTTAACAACGGAATTAATTTTTGCTTTTCTTCCTTTTATGTTAGTGTAGACTTAACTAGAAAAAGAGAAAATATTTGTCACTCAAACAATCGATGTCTCTAAATATGATAGGAGCGAGCAATTCTTATCATAAAACGTGTTGAATCGTTTCAAATTCAAATTATAAGAGTATTATTCATCAATCAATGATTAGTAATTGTATTTGCATTGCCTTTTTTTTCATATAGATAATTATTTGTCAATTTATTCGTTGATCTAACTCATTTGAATATAAGACAAGAAAGAAAAGGAGAAGAGGAAAGAATAACGTTCTTTTTCTTGTTGTTACGTTGTAAGAAGAAAAAAGAGAAAGAGAAAAAAAAAAAGAAATGACAACAATTTTCTTTTCTCGTTACATCCAAGTACAACAAAAAAGAGCCTGATAATGATAAATTTTGTCTTTTTTATCTGATGTGTTCCTACTTTCGGACTTTATTTTGGTAATGTAAAAAGATAGATATGACTAATATAGTACGTACTATTCTGCTGAGTTTATCGACACTTATATATTTGCATATCTTGCACTTCGTACTTTCACCTTGGTCGTACCTGTAAAAGTACAACGATATAATAGGTGAAAGTATTCCGATGATCGAACGATGAGTCTTAAGCAAATATAATCGTGACGTTTTTTTTCTCTTTCATTTGAAGAAAAGTCTTATTGGTAATCATGACTAACGATGATTTAGCTGTCGTTGGTATAGCATGTCGTTTTCCTGGTGGAAGTAATTCAACGGATGAATTTTGGTTAAATTTAATTAATAAACGTGACTGTGTGGGTCCTATTCCGAGCGATCGTTGGAATGCAGATTATTTTACAGACAATCAATCAAATGAAATACATTCTCCTGGTAAGATTACTTCGTCACGATGTGGTTGGATCGATTTCGTTGGAGAATTTGATTATGAATCATTCTCGATTGGTAAACGTGAAGCTGAAAACATGGATCCACAACAGAAACTTCTATTAGAAGTTACTTTACAAGCTCTTGAAGATAGTGGAATACAGTATATGGGGTCCGATATAGGAGTCTATTTAGGTATTGGACAAGCTGAACAGTATGAATTAACTACGGCTGATCTGGAAAGTATCAACGCTTATAGTGTTACTGGTTCGGCATTGTCGATCTGTTCCAATCGTTTAAGTTACTGTTTCGATCTTCGAGGACCGTCGATGTCCATTGATACTGCCTGCTCATCGAGTGCAACTGCATTTCATTTAGGTTGTCAAGCTGTTCGTAATGGCACGTGTTCAGCGGCAGTCATTGCTGGTGTTAATATTCTCATGAATCCATCGACATTTATTCAGTTTTCTCAATTAGGCGTTCTGTCTCCCGATGGAATGTGTCAATCGTTTAGTAAAAATGCCAATGGATATGTTCGATCCGAAGGTTGTGGTGTTGTCATCGTTAAACCATTCAAACAAGCTTTGCTGGATAAAAACCATATTTATTGTTTAATTCGAGGCTCAGCAATCAATCAAGATGGACATCAATCACCATCGTTAACTATGCCAAGTTCACAAGCACAGATGGAAGTTTTTCGAAAAGCCTGTCAAAACGCGGGAATTAATCCTAAAGATATCTTCTATGCTGAAGCTCATGCAACAGGCACGAAAGTCGGCGATCCAATTGAAGGTATTTTCTCGATCGATTCGCTTTTGTTAAAAATCTCTTTTTTTCATTTTTAAAAGCAAATGCAATCGGAAAAGTCTTCGGACGAGAAGAATCATACTTACGTATTGGCTCAGTGAAATCCAATGTTGGACATTTAGAAACGGCAAGTTTCATGGCTGGCCTATTGAAATGTATTCTAATGCTTGAACATCGTCAACTGGTGCCGAACATACATTTTGAAAAAGGTCAAGGAAATCCAGATATTCACTTCGACGAATATAAACTTTCTGTTCAAACTGAAATTGAACCGATTGAAAACGAGAATGCTTTAATGATGATTTCAAGCTTTGGTTTCGGCGGTGCAAACGGCTGCACTATTATTCAAGGATATCAATCATCTTCTCAACAAACAGATCGTTCTCCGTCCATATCGTTACCACAATTATTTCTTGTCTCTGCTGCAACATCAAATGCATTAGAGGCTCGAATACAACAATTGAAATCCACATCAGAAGGTCTCTATTCACCTGCTTCGATATCGCATACATTGTACAATCGTCCATTACATCGTCTGGTTACATTTGCCATTGATGAACAATTGAACGAGAAAACAACATTTGTGCCTACTCGGAAAGCTGTCGATCAACCACTAACTTGTATTTGGGTATTTGCTGGTCAAGGTCCACAACATCCAAAGATGGGCAAACTTCTTTACGCGCACGTCGAAAGCTTTCGTTCCTCGATCGACGCATCAGATTCAATCTATCGTGAATGTTCCGGTCAAAGTCTTATCGATGATATCGGTGTCTTCGGTTCAAAAGATGGAGCTAATCCAATGGCTGTTTATGAAATTGCGTACACCTTACCTGCGCTAGTATTTCTTCAAATCGCTCTTGTGGACATGTACCGTGATTTAGGCGTGCCTTGTGCCGCCGTATTTGGTCACTCGTTTGGCGAAATGGCAGCTGGTTATGCTGCGAATATCTGTACGCGAAAGCAATGTATTGAAACTGCTTATCATCGTGCTCGCATTCTACGACATGTCGATGGACGTGGGGCAATGCTGGCAGTCAGTTGTTCGAAAGATTACATTCAACCTTTATTAGACAAATATGAACAAGTTTGGATTGCTGCTTATAATGGTGCAAATTCGTTGACTCTGGGTGGAATTCAAGAATCTATAAAAAGCATTTCGAAAGAATTATCCAACGCTGATATATTCAATCGAATTTTAAAGATCAACAGTGCCTATCATACACCACTGATGGCGCCTGTTCGATCCGAAGCTCTTGCTGTATTCAAACAAACATTAGCTGGATGTTCCACACCTACCATTCCGTACTTTAGTACAGTAACAGGACAATGGAAAGATTGTGATTTCGACGAAAATTATACTTTTCAAGGAATTGAAGGTAAAAGCTTGTCAAACTGACCTTCCAAACACCTTTTTCTCGTTCATTTAGGACCAGTTTTATTCGATCAGGCTGTTCAAGGATGTTTAGAACGATTTGGTGCTGAGAAGAGTCTCTTCTTGGAAATGTCTGCACATCCTGTGCTGAGCTCATATTTAACCGAAAATGGTTCTAAGTATAATTTATGTACACTAAATCGTCAGCAATCAGATATAGACACAACGTTGAAAACATTAGCGAATCTACGCATCTACGGATGTTCACCATCGCAAGCTGATCTATCGAAAATTTATTCGTTCATCGCACCTGCAACTCGTATTCCATCGTATTCAAACTATCCATTTCAACGGCAGTACTGCGTCAAAGAAGATCCCGGACATCGCCTTCAACGAACAGTTCCTACCTGGTATACTCTAGCTGGTCGACCACTTGCTCATCCATATGCAAGTTTTCAAACAAAGCTGTGTTTGAATTCTCATATTTGGATCGAGGATCATCGTGTTCAAGGTCCAGTGGTTTTCCCCGCTGCCGGTTACATTGAAATCTGTATGGAAGTGTTCAATTCGATGAACTTAAAAAACATTCATATTGACAAAGCATTAGTTTTACCATCGGATCGAAACAGTTATCGTACCATTCGAACCGTTTTGGACGACAGTAACGCATCGAATATTTTCATATATTCCAAGTCAAATGAATATGATTCAACCAATTGGACTAAACATATGACCGCTTCGAAGGATGATCCCGTAACTGTCTCACCAGAACTACCAGCTTGGACAAAAGATTTTCAGTCACGTTGTTGTTTTACAAAAATTGAAGGAAAAGACGTTTATGGACGATTTTCAAGCATTGGTCTCGATTATGGGCCACATTTTCAATGTATTCGAGCACTTTCTCAAGGCGACTACGAAGCTTATGCGCATTTGAATATTTCGCATTTATCAAATTCGAGCCAATCGAAATTTCACGTTCATCCAGCTATCCTGGATTCAGTGTTTCAAGTTCTTCTTGGTACACAACGGTATTTTTATCGCGCTTATGTGCCAACATTCATTCAGCAAATCCAGTGGTACGTTCCAACTGATCAATTACCTAACGACTTTTATGTTTATGCTCGAACAACAAATTTTGACTTTAAACAAATACTTACTGGTGACATGTATATTGTCGATGAAGAACAAAAACGACTATTAGGAATGGTTCTTGGTTTCCAAGCGACAGCCTTAGGCCAATCGAATCAAACTCAACCTCTCTATACTCTCCATTATCAAAATGTTCAAACACCTCTTCTAGCAGCAAAATCGGAACCAGATATGAGCACGATTCCAAGATTTTCCAAACGTGAAGAAACTCTATTCGATGATACCTGTTCGGCATACATCGCACNCAGTTTTCTCAATTAGGCGTTCTGTCTCCCGATGGAATGTGTCAATCGTTTAGTAAAAATGCCAATGGATATGTTCGATCCGAAGGTTGTGGTGTTGTCATCGTTAAACCATTCAAACAAGCTTTGCTGGATAAAAACCATATTTATTGTTTAATTCGAGGCTCAGCAATCAATCAAGATGGACATCAATCACCATCGTTAACTATGCCAAGTTCACAAGCGCAAATGGAAGTTTTTCGAAAAGCCTGTCAGAACGCGGGAATTAATCCTAAAGATATCTTCTATGCTGAAGCTCATGCAACAGGCACGAAAGTCGGCGATCCAATTGAAGGTATTTTCTTCATCGATTTGTTTTTGTTAAAAATCTCTTTTTTTACTTTTCAAAGCGAATGCAATTGGAAAAGTCTTCGGACGAGAAGAATCATACTTACGTATTGGTTCAGTGAAATCCAATGTTGGACATTTAGAAACGGCAAGTTTCATGGCTGGCCTATTGAAATGTATTCTAATGCTTGAACATCGTCAATTGGTGCCGAACATACATTTTGAAAAAGATCAAGGAAATCCAGATATTCACTTCGACGAATATAAACTTTCTGTTCAAACTGAAATTGAACCGATTGAAAACGAGAATGTTTTAATGATGATTTCGAGCTTTGGTTTCGGCGGTGCAAACGGTTGCACTATTATTCAAGGATATCAACCATCTCCTCAACAAACAGATCGTTCTACGTCCATATCGTTACCACAATTATTTCTTGTTTCTGCTGCAACATCAAATGCATTAGAGGCTCGAATACAACAATTGAAATCCACATCAGAAGGTCTATATTCACCTGCTTCGGTATCGCATACATTGTATCATCGTCCAATGCATCGTCTGGTTACATTCGCCATTGATGAACAACTGAACGAGAAAACAACATTTGTGCCTACTCGGAAAGCTGTCGATCAACCATTAACTTGTATTTGGGTATTTGCCGGTCAAGGTCCACAACATCCAAAGATGGGCAAACTTCTTTACGCGCACGTTGAAAGCTTTCGTTCCTCGATCGACGCATCAGATTCAATCTACCGTGAATGTTCCGGTCAAAGTCTTATCAATGACATCGGTGTATTCGGTCCAAAAGATGGAGCTAATCCAATGGCTGTTTATGAAATTGCGTACACGTTACCTGCACTAGTATTTCTTCAAATCGCTCTTGTGGATATGTACCGTGATTTAGGTGTGCCTTGCGCCGCCGTATTCGGTCATTCATTTGGAGAGATGGCAGCTGGTTATGCTGCGAATATCTGTACGCGAAAACAATGTATTGAAACTGCTTATCACCGTGCTCGCATTCTTCGACATGTCGATGGACGTGGAGCAATGCTGGCAGTCAGTTGTTCAAAAGATTACATTCAACCTTTATTAGAAAAATATGATCAAACTTGGATTGCTGCTTATAATGGTGCAAATTCATTGACTTTGGGTGGAATTCAAGAATCTATAAAAAGCATTTCGAAAGAATTATCCAACGCTGATATATTCAATCGAATTTTAAAGATCAACAGTGCCTATCATACACCACTGATGGCGCCTGTTCGTTCCGAAGCGCTTGCTGTATTCAAACAAACATTAGCTGGATGTTCCACACCTACCATTCCGTACTTTAGTACAGTAACAGGACAATGGAAAGATTGTGATTTCGACGAAAATTATACTTTTCAAGGAATTGAAGGTAAAAGCTTGTCGAGCTGACCTTCCAAACACCTTTTTCTCGTTCATTTAGGACCCGTTTTATTCGATCAGGCTGTTCAAGGATGTTTAGAACGATTTGGTGTTGAGAAGAGTCTCTTCTTGGAAATGTCTGCACATCCTGTGTTGAGCTCATATTTAACCGAAAATGGTTCTAAGTATAATTTATGTACACTGAATCGCCAACAATCAGATATAGACACAACGTTGAAAACATTAGCGAATCTACGCATCTACGGATGTTCACCATCGCAAGCTGATCTGTCGAAACTTTACTCGTTCATCGCACCTGCAACTCGCATTCCATCGTATTCAATCTATCCATTTCAACGACAATACTGTGTCAAAGAAGACCCCGGACATCGCCTTCAACGAACAGTTCCTATCTGGTATACTTTAGCGGGTCGACCTCTTGCTCATCCATATGCAAGTTTTCAAACAAAGCTTTGTTTGAATTCTCATATTTGGATCGAGGACCATCGTGTTCAAGGTCCGGTGGTTTTTCCCGCTGCTGGTTACATCGAAATCTGTATGGAAGTATTCAATTCGATGAACTTAAAAGACATTCATATTGACAAAGCATTAGTTTTACCGTCGGATCGAAACAGTTATCGAACCATTCGAACCATTCTGGACGAAAGTAACCCATCGAATATTTTCATCTATTCCAAGTCGAATGAATATGATTCAACTAATTGGACTAAACATATGACCGCTTCGAAGGATGATCCAATAACTGGCTCACCAGAACTACCAGCTTGGACAAAAGATTTACAATCACGTTGTCGTTTTACGAAAATTGAAGGAAAAGACATTTACGGACGATTTTCAAGCATTGGTCTTGATTATGGGCCATATTTTCAATGTATTCGAGCACTTTCTCAAGGCGATTACGAGGCATATGCGCATTTGAATATTTCACATTTGTCAAACTCGAACCAATCGCAATTTCACATTCATCCAGCTATTCTAGATTCAGTGTTTCAAGTTCTTCTTGGTACACAACGGTATTTTTATCGCGCCTATGTACCAACATTCATTCAGCAAATTCAGTGGTACGTTCCAACTGATCAATTGCCTAACGATTTTTATGTTTATGCTCGAACAACAAACTTTGACTTTAAACAAATACTTACTGGTGATATGTATATCGTCGATGAAGAACAAAAACGACTACTAGGAATGGTTCTTGGCTTCCAAGCGACTGCCTTAGGCCAATCGAATCAAACTCAACCTCTCTATACTCTCCATTATCAAAATGTTCAAACACCTCTTCTAACAGCAAAATCGGAACCAGATATGAGCACGATTCCCAGATTTTCCAAACATGAAGAAACTCTATTCGATGATGCCTGTTCGGCATACATCGCAAAATTTCTCTCGACCAATCCATTTGACGAAGAAATAGTTGCCAAATGGCCAGTTCATCGTCAACGTTATTGGCAATGGCTACATTCGACAGTTCGATCAAAGATCATTTCTCCTCAATCGATTGATTTAATCGACGATGAACAATATCAACAACTTAAATATGAAGCACAGGCGATTCATCGTGTCGGAAGAAATCTACATTCTCTTCTCAATGATAATTTTGCTGTACAAAATCTGTTCTTTGCCGAAAATGATCCATTCATGTCAGATCTTTATTCAAAATCGAAAACATTTCAACCTTACACAGATATCCTTGCTCAAAAACTGGTCGATCAATTGAAAACTATCGAAGCAGAATATCAAGGAGAAGCATCACGTGTTTTCTCAATTTTGGAACTAGGTGCTGGTACTGGTGCTTTAACATCAGTCATTCTCGAGAAATTATTTCAACAAACGTCAATCATTCAAGAAAATCGCTTGATCTATGTTTTTACTGATGTCAGCGGCAAATTTCTATCAGATGCGAAAAAGCGTTTTTCGGCCATTTATCCATGTATTCAATATCAATTATGTAATCTTGACGTCGATTTAACAACGCAGAAGCTGGATCTCTATTCATTCGATATTGTTTGCGCATTCGATGTGCTTCATGTAGCACAAGATTTAACCTTATGTTTAAATCGTGTTCAACAATTATTGAAACCAAATGGCTATCTTCTCTGTATTGAATTAACTCGACCATGGACGTGGATCGAATTCTTCTTTGGTTTATTCGCTGGTTGGTGGCATTTTATCGATACAAAGTTAAGATCGACATGTTTTCTTACGGTGGATAAATGGAATCAGATACTAACGGAAACAGGTTTTCAACACGTTCAGATTGACAACGAAGGACAACCAGAATTTGCCCATTCTCTCTTGACGGCAAGAGGCGTTGACTGGACGATCGAGAAGCCATCTAATTTAGACATGACCGTATTTGATACGACTGACGTGACTACGGATAATCTTAAGTCCTACATGGACAAATTACTACAATTAGCTCAATCATCGATATCCGTCAGTGATCCAACCACCGTCTTCGTTCTTACACAAACTATGACTCCACCAATCGGCGCGACGTTCACTGGTTTTACTCGAGTGTGGGCGAACGAAGCAACGCAACATCGAATTTGTTCGATCGAATTCGATCAATCGTCATTGAAAGAGAAACAACTCTGGTTGGGCCGTATTCAAAATTTAGTGCAAAAAACCTCGGAAAGAGAATTTCTTATATGTGAAAATACCATTACTGTCCCACGCCATATTCCACGGACATTGACTAATGTCTTCAGCGCAACTAGTTCTCTCAAAAGCAGATCAAATTCATCTTCGTCTCTCCCAGCATACCGCCTAGAAATAGATACTGTCGGTCAATTACAAACATTGAAATATCGATCATTCGATTTACCTGCATCGTTATTACCAACTGATGTTCAAGTAGAAGTTCACGCATCAGCGTTAAATTTCAAAGATTTGATGTTAGCATTGGGAATGTTGGATAACCCAATGGGTTTCGATCAACAAACGTTAAAATATCGTGAAAATTCCGTTAATCTCGGTCTAGAATTTAGTGGTATCGTCAAGAGTGTTGGCACGGCAGCATCGAAAAGATTCAATATTGGTGATCAAGTATTTGGCTTTGCTAATCATTGTTTTGCATCTCAAGTAATCACACATGAACATTTTCTTGTGAAAAAACCATTACATTTATCGCACACGGATGCCGTGTCGTTACCCATTGTTTTCGCAACTGTATATGCTGGATTGATTGTTAAAGCGCAATTGAAACCAGGTGATACTGTACTTATTCATTCGGCAGCTGGTGGAATCGGTCAAGCAGCTATTCAGTTATGCCAACACGTTGGCGCTCGTATTATCTGTACAGTCGGTTCGCGAGAAAAACGTGAGTTCTTGGAGAAAACTTACGGATGTACGCAATTCGCTAATTCACATTCAACTAAAGAATGGCACGCAGATGTTCTCAAATTAACTGACGGTCAAGGAGTTGACGTAGTTTTGAATTCTTTGAAAGGCGATGCAATTCAAGCTGGTCTTCAATGTTTAAAAATTGGTGGTCGATTTATTGAAATTGGCAAGGTCGATATATTGAATCATTCGCAATTAGATATGCATTTCTTGCTGAACGATTTGAGTTTTCTCAGCGTCCAACTCGATATTTTAATGCAAAGTCAAACAGATAAAATTCAAGAATATTTACAGGCTATTCAGCAATTAGCATCGGAAAAATCGATTCGACCAATTATCGATCGAATCTACGATTTACAAGACACAGAAATCGCCTTTCGTTTTCTCATGTCCGGTCAACATAAAGGAAAACTGATTTTAAATATGNATTTCTTGCTGAACGATTTGAGTTTTCTCAGCGTCCAACTCGATATTTTAATGCAAAGTCAAACAGATAAAATTCAAGAATATTTACAGGCTATTCAGCAATTAGCATCGGAAAAATCGATTCGACCAATTATCGATCGAATCTACGATTTACAAGACACAGAAATCGCCTTTCGTTTTCTCATGTCCGGTCAACATAAAGGAAAACTTATTTTAAATATGCAAAGTGAATTACCAAGTATTTATCCTCCGTCGACTATATACGGCTCAACAACATGTTTCATTTTAAGTGGAGGAACAGGAGCGTTAGGTTTGCAATTAGTTCAACATATGAGTGCGCACGGAGCAAGACAATTTATCTTGCTGTCACGACAAGGTTTAGCTAGTTTACGATCATCAGATCGAACTATGCTGACGGATCTTCAACGTTTCGGTATCAAAGTTTACGTTGGGAAAGGTGATGTTGCTAAACTAGAAGATATTCGTCGTATTTTGCGGGAAGCACAAGAGATATTCAATCTTCCGTCATGTCAATATAGTGTTCTTCATTTGGCTATGGTTCTTGATGATGCGCCTATTTCGAAATTGAATTCTCAACGTATAGAAAACGTCATGCGATGCAAAGTCGAAGGTGCCATGTGTCTACTTCAAGCAATTCCTGACGATCAATTAGAACATGTGATATTCTTTTCCAGTGCAGCTTCAACGTTTGGTAATCCATCTCAAGCCAATTACAGTGCAGCAAATACATTTCTCGATAGTTACGCTCGTCAACTTTCGACGCGAACAAAGAAGAAAGTGAAAGTAGTGAACTTAGGACTTGTAGAGGACGTTGGTATTCTTGCTGAAGATTGGAAATTGAAACAAATTCTAACTGCCAAAGGTTTTGCTGGCGGTTTAACGTCGTTAGGTGTTTGTCAACTAGTCGATCACGCATTTATAACCGAAAATAATGATCAATGTCAAATGTTATACGGCAATTTTCAGATGGAAGATTTAATTCATTCGTATCCGATATTAAAAACTCGACTCGAGCACTTGATCGACCATACAGTATCAGCCAGCAGTGGAAGTTCCGGAACGTCTGCAAATAAAAATGAAATTACTTTAGAATCAATGGCTGCATATATTTCGACACTGTTAGCAACATCAAATCTAGATATTCAAGAATCGTTGACTGTCCAAGGTTTAGATTCACTTCTTGCTGTTGAATTAAGTGCAGGTTTGAAGAAACAGTTTGGATTAGCGATTAGTCAATTAGCTTTGCTTGGTGGATTATCTGTAAAGCAAATTGTCGAATCGGCTTCGTCTTAGAAACAAATAATTGTGCTTCATATTTAATCTTTGATTATAGGCTTTCTTTCCAAATAAAATATAGATCATCCAGTCGATTCGAAAGGAAACTTAAAATACGGCAATCGGAATAGAATATTATTCATCATAATAGACCAGTCTTACTTGCTTTTATAACTATCGTTTTTGTGTCTGAATAGAACTAAATAAGATTTTTGTTATTGCACCGATTGTGATACAGTCTTTTATTCTAGTGCGAGGCTACAATTAAGAAGCACATTACTTCGTTCATTTGTGTAATTTCAAACTAAATCATCGTCAGGAATACAAGAAAATCTTCAAATGAAGTTCAGCAGAAACTCGATGAAAAAATTTGTACTGTAAAAAATGAACGCGAGTTATGAGTATTCGTTGATGAGACAAATTGGTCAACAGGGAAATGACTCCATCAATAAAATAAGACAAGCAATCACAAAGTGTAGGCAAGAATTATAAAGATAGCTTAATCATCTAAGGCGAATTTGCATTGAGAAAAGTCCAAGGTTATTTATCAACAAAAATAATCTCACTGATCAAATCTAGTACGAAGAATCTTGATTGAGAATGTAATCATATAAATAAATAATTGTTTAGATACGAAACGGAAACAGTTTGGGTTTATTATGATTGAATGAAATCAATTGCGTCGTGTGTATGATTGAAGGAGCAACAAAAGGAAGTATTGTTGCTGGTGGAAATGGATATGGACATGAATCGAGTCAATTATTCTATCCAAGCGATTTGTTATTTGATTATCAAGGAAATCTTTATGTTGTTGGCTCAGCAAACTACCGAATACAAAAATTTGAAATTGATTCCAACTAAAATAATCTGTTGCCTTTCATAGTTGTGTAGTTTTATCTTTTGTCATGAGTGAATTCTGAATATGGCGGACGTATGGTGTAATGGTAGCACGCGTATCTTCTAAATTGGAAGTCTTGCTTCGATCTCAAGTACATTCATTTCTTTTTTCTGTACACGTCGAATATTAGTGTTTTCTCTTACATTATGTTCGCATTCATCAATACATCTTCTATTAAACTTTTATTCAACATATAGTATCAATAAAACAAAATTAAATACAAGTCGTTGACTAAAAGATTGCCGATTAAAAATCAATCACACGATGCTGTGTTTACATGTACTAGAAGTTCTATTGAATCTTACTATTCGTCCAGGACTGACATAAGCATAGATATCTCCTAATCTGTCAATTACGATTGTCCTCGTGTATATTTCTTGTCCTACAGACTCATGTATTCGATATTTATTCATAACTGTACTATGGAATTTTCCATCGGGTGACCATATTGATACTCGATGCAATTCACCCGAGATAACATAACCAGTTTTATCAACAGCTATTGTATACGCATCGACATCTACTGCCTTAGTGTGTGAAAACATGTGAAGAGGTATTCCATCAATGATCGTTTCTCCCAATTCTGATCCATTTGAGTATTTCAAAATACGATTAAAATCGTATCCTACGCTCACCAATGATCCATTACTACTCTTCCAAGAACGTGTACCACGATCCAATAAGTATATTGTATTATCAGGTTCATATACAGCAAAAGCGACTATGTTCGTTGTTGGATAACGCACTGAATCAATTTTATTTCCATCCACCACCAAAATTGCAGATGAGCTGTTAACTGTCCATTTGTATACTACTCCTGATGGAGTCGCCAGCATGAATATATCACCAGCTGAATTAACGTACAATCCACCACAATGGTATAAGGAAGGATTCACTCCAAGTTTATTAATAATGTCTCCAATTACACTTTCTGGAGCCTAATTGTCATCTGTTATTTTGAAAATATTCAAGCTTCGGTTCCAAAATTGACAAAAATATAGAGATTGGGACGATAAATGAAAGAATAATGGGCTATCAATATCAAATTGATTTTCATATAATCGCTTCAAAAGTGTACCTTGAGGCGACCATTTATCCAAACTCTTCCCTTTTCTGTGAGCAACATACACATTTGAATCATGATCGACAGTTAGGTGAACATAAGGTCGATCAGTTGTTATCAAGTCTCCTTTATAGTTCCATCCAACTGGAATGCAGTCTGCTCCTACTGATAAAAAAAACGATAGGCTGCCGTTCAAATATCGAATATTCACTTAAATAAGGGAGAAGAGACACATACACGTTGATGCTGTTGCGATCGTTGTGTCAAGAAAATAAGTGTCACATTAAATAGATAAAGTTAGGTAAAGAACATGTCACTAAATATACATTACCTGCCGTTGTGCTAACATCTGCACAATTCGCACCAACACATTCATATGATCTTCCATTGTGATTTTGAAATTGAAGTATCACACCAAAGAGAACACCTAGTGCTATTATCATCGTGAAAAGGATCACAGCGCATATTCTGATAATATATGTTTTCTGAGAGTATTGGTATAGAAAAGGTAAACGATTGTTTCTCTGTTCTGGAATAGCCACTGGATCTTCATTTGGAGTGCTCAAAATAACCTTTGACAATTCATTTTGTTCATCATTTTGAATACTATCAATTTTAAATACAGAACAAAGACTAAATAGAACTTCTTCCGGAATTTCTGAATATGCTGCAACGTCAGCAAACACCACATTTGTCGACTTGTAATTGGTTCGAATTTCAAACACGACTGATCTCTTCTGAGCTGATGAAATTCCAGCATATACTAAAGCAACATCAAAGTCCTTTGTAGTTGATAGAAACCCATTGAATGATATCAAACTACCAACGTTTCTCTCGATTGTCGCAAACTGCTTCACAGTCATATCTGCATGTCCACGAAACACTGTTAATGGTGTGTCTGATTGGTTTTGCTCGTGTAATGTTTGAAGTTGTTTACATAGATCTCTGATAAAAGGTCGAAAGATAATAATCTGTTCCATATCCAACGATCGCAATACTTTATTCACCAAACGATATAGAAAACTATCTTTAGTATACCATTTAATTGCTGTCTCAGGTATATAACTGTATTGGAATTCATCGATC